GAGCGATAGAGTACTCTCTCTCTTACCTCGTAGAGCGTAGAGTAATACGCTTCTTTTTTATTATATAGGAACGATATTATAGTTTATATAATAGCGTTTAACTTACTATTTAATTTTACTATTTAGTTTACGATTATACCTAAACCTCTATTTTAAGATTATCTTAGTAGTCTACCGACTCTCTCCCTTTAACGAGCTCTAACTAAGGACTTAAGCTTAGTACCCGTACTAAGTAAGATTCTAGGATTAACGAACCGATCCTAATATTAATATTTAAGAGATACTACTTCTTATAAAAAAAAGGAAGTAAGTAGTAGAGGCTATATAAGATATAAGAAAGCGAAGTAGTTATTAGCCGTAGAGGAGGAAGGTAGTAGTATAACGTTCTAACTATAAAAAGTTCTTTAGAAAGTCTTTTTAAAATTATAAATATCTTATCTTTCTATTACTATACTTACTATTAAATCTATTTAAAAATAGATAAGAAAGTCTCTAGCTACTGTACCTACTATCCTCTTATATATATTCTATTTTTGGACATTAAGTAAACAGCAAAAGAAGATTGTCTAAACAGGCCACCGCCATTTCCCTACTTCTCCTTTAGCGCCGCAACCGTGTTCCGATTTGATGAAGCTGATCACTTTCCTATTCAGAGGTTGGAGCTACAAGGTCGTGCTGCAAGCCACCGCGCCCCTCCGTCTTTGACATGAAGTTCGCGGTATCATGTTCCAGCACGATCCGGCAGTCTGAAATCTCCAAAAGCCTCTCATTTGCTGTGTGAGGCTACAGTCTTGGAGATTCATCATGTCTGCCACCATGGACGAAAAGGCTCAAGACGTCCCAGCGAGCATCGCGAAAGACACCGCCGATGCCAAATATGATGAGAACGTTGACAACTCCCAAGACAATCTCGTCTACGACAATGCTGAAGAGGAGCCTGAGTTACACGCCCGGACTATCGTTGCGTGCATGGCCATGTTCCTCCTCAACTTGGTTCAGGTCTTCGCATTGCAAGGCCCTCCAGCAGTGGTGAGTCCAGCTGCCCGCAGTCGAAAAAGCCATATACCTGACACCAAAATCGACAGCTGTCCTATATAGGCGCAAGTCTCGATGCTAGCGAGAGACAGACCTGGATAACCAACTCTCTGTCACTTGTGCAAGCCGTTTTAGGACCAATAATCGCTTCTGCATCCGACACCTTCCAAGCGAGAAAGATCATCTTGGTCTCCACCTGCACTATCTCCTTCATCGGCTGCGCCATCGCTCCAGGCGCTCAGTCGATCGCCAGACTAATCGCCGCGCAAACCCTCATAGGTTTCGGCTTCGCTGCAGTGCCTCTGGCATACTGCGTGCCCAGCGAGATCCTCCCTCGGAAATGGAGACCGGCAGTCCAAGGTGTGATGAATATTGCTGCTTCAATAGGAGCGATTTCTGGACCGCTTATTATTGGAGCACTCACGCGCTCGGATCTGGTCAATGGCTGGCGAGATTTCTACTGGGTACAGTTTGCGCTTTGGGGATTGACTGCGCTGGGATTGTTGTTTGGTTACAGACCTCCGAAGAGACACACGAGATATGACCACTTGAGCTTGTGGCAGAAGATCGGACAGCTCGATCTTATTGGATTCTCTTTGCTGACTACTGGGTTGGCCTTGTTCCTGACGGGAATGAACTTGGGCGGAGAGCAGTATCCTTGGAGCAATGCACGAGTTCTGGCGACTCTCATTATTGGGATCGCACTTCTCGTTGGATTCGGACTCTACGAGTGGAAGGGTACAGCAACAGGGATTCTCCACCACGAGCTCTTCCGCAACGAGGAAGGGCATGGCCGAGCATTTGCCCTCTGTGTCATGCTCATCTTCATCGAGGGGATTTTGCTATTCGCCGTTGTCATCTTCTACCCGATCCTGTGAGTTCAATGACCCGACTTGTTGATTCTTCATCTGCTGACTTTCACGCAGTACTGTGAACCTCTTCGAGACGGATCCATTCCTCCAAGTTGCTCGAGCGCAGCCATTTTGGGTCGCAAACCTTTTCGTCACGGGGCTCTACGGGTACTGGAGTACACGACTTCGATCTCTTCGTGCACCACTGGCAGTGGGCTTCCTGCTCCTGACAGCAGGAGCCGTGGGCTTGGCCACAGTCCAACCAAGTGACTCGACCAGTGCAATTGTGTTCGACGGACTCGCTGGCATTGGCTTCGGATCTCCATTGGTCTTGATCGTAGCAGCAGTGCAGCTCGCTGTGCCTCACCATCTGATCGCCACTGCAACTGCAGTCACAACATCTGCCCGAGCAGTAGCAGCGACCATCTTCACAGCGAGCTATTTTGCAGCCTACAGCGATCGAGCCGCAAGATTCGTGCCTCAAGATGTTGCTCCCGCAGCACTTGGAGCCGGACTACCGAGCAGTTCACTGATGCCCTTCGTAGCCGGGCTTTCAGCGCACAATCAGACAGCCTTGTCCTCGATTCCAGGTGTCACTCCCGCGATCATCAGCGCCGGAACAGCAGCTTTGAAACAAGCAATGGCGGGTTCGATTCGCGTGGTGTACATCATTGCAGCTCCTTTTGGGGCCGTCGCTGTCATTGCTTGCTTCTTTCTGGGAGACCTGAGCAAAGTCATGAACTACAGGGTCGATGCGCCTGTTGAGAGGTTGCGTGCGAAGCATGAAAGACAGTGATTTCGGTAGTGAGTGCGTCTTATCATTAGGAAGTATATGTCTTCTCCTATTTTTCTGCCTTAGGCCTCAAGTAATGCCTGCCGACATCGGCTCCCAAGCCGGGCCGAAGTCCATCAAACCTTCGTCAAATTTTTGATTAAAGCAAGAGCTTGAGCTGTTGCGATGGGTCACGGATTCCGTTGAGCGAAGAAAAATCGTGCCATCGCCATTGATGTCTATCATGCTTCACTCTTATACCAGCGCATCTCTACTCCATCACCTCGACGTCCCATAACACCATCATGGGCGTAAGGCACGAACATGACACTCTCCAAAAATCTGCCGACAACGAGATCCAGCCATCATGGCAAAAAGAAAGCCACGCACGAGAAGACCCCGAAAACGTCTTCAACGACGATGACATCCCCGATCCCCAGCGAATGCGCAAGGTCTATCGAAAACTGGACCTTCGCATCATTCCTCCCTTCTGGCTCCTCTACTTCCTCTGCTCGGCGGTGCGCTCAAACGTCGGCCTCGCGCAGACGATGAACACATCCTCCGGACATGATCTAGAATCGTACCTGGGGATCTCTGCGCACCAGGTTTCGACGGGTCTGGCGCTTTTTTATGTGACTTATGTTGTGCTTGAGGTGCCTTCCAATCTGGCTATGAGTAAACTCTCGCCATCCGTCTGGCTGGCGAGGATTGTGATTAGTGTGGGTGTGATTGGGACGGCGATGGTGGCGATGAAAAATGCGGCTGGGTATTATGTGTTGAGGCTGTTGCTCGGTGCGGTGGAGGCGGGGATGTGGCCTGGGATGTCGTTGTTTTTGACGCTGTTCTATCCGCCCAGACGGATGGCGAAGAGGGTCGGGTGGTATTTTACTGCTTCGCAGGTCTCGGCGGCTGTGGTTGGGCTTGTGAGTGCGGGTTTTCAGGAGATGGATGGGATTGATGGGCTGGTGGGCTTTCAGTGGATGTTCCTGATTTGGGGGTTGGTGACGCTGGTTCTGGGCTTTGTGTTGATCTGGTGGTTGCCAGATCGACCTCTCGCTCCAGGAGAGGAGAGGAGGATTGGCTGGTGGAATCGATTCCTTCCAGCGCCGAAGCCTGCATTGAACGGCGAGGATGCCATCCTGCACTATCGTGACCTGAAGTCAGCATACCACAACACGAACTGGACCATTCGCGACCTTGGCAGAGTCCTTCTGGACTGGAGATTCTGGCCACTCCTGATCATGTACTTTGGCGTGGTGGGCGTCGGCAACGGTGTTCAAAGCTACGGGACCGTCATTCTCAAAGCCATCAACCCATCGTTCAGCGGTGTCGAGCTGAGTCTACTCTACGCACCTATCTGGATCTGTGATTTGATCGGAATTGTCACTGTCACGCCCATCAGTGACTACTTCCACAAACAACGAGCTCTCTTCTTCAGCATCCCGACCCTCCTCCAAATCACCGGCCTGCTCATTTCGACATACGCAGGAGATTCGAGCTCAGCAAAGTGGGGACGTTACGTCGGACTTCTGATCGTGGGCTTTGGACTAGGCCCTACCGTTCCCATCACGATGACCTGGACCGCCGAAATTTTCCAGCCTCGTCACGGAGAGATCGGTGTCGCAGCAGCGTCTGCGCTTGTCTCTGGTTTGGGGAACCTGGGAAGTGTGGTAACGAACTACGCCCTCTTCTCTGGTTGGCCAGAGGATGCGAAGAGGCATCCAGTGTATGTCGGCAGCAACTGGGTCATGATCGGCATTCTGTTTGCCAGTATTTCCGCGAGCATTGCCATGACTCTGTTGCTGAAAGTCACGGGGAATCGAGCGAATGGGCAATGAAATAAATCAACCCTTGGTAGGGCAGACCGATATCAAGGCACGAGAAAGGCTACACGCCGCGCAACCTTAATGGTCAGAGATATGCCTTGCTCTGTTCAAATTTGCTTCTCTCATAACTTGCTCGACAGCAACTGCATCACCACGGCCCCGATGCGTCTGAACAGCTTCGACGCATGTATCATGCCAACTCAATCCAGTCGGGTTCCATCAGTCCCGACTCCGTCCACACGACGAACGTGCTTGCAGTTCTCGCACTCGTATCAGAGCAATTGGCCCAAAAACATCTGAAAGAAGACAAGAAAATGCCAATGGCTGAATAAGACATGGCGCTCATCAAGGATATCCCCAACCTTTGGAGCTACTCCACCTTTGCCGGGGGGATGCAGCTTTGCATGACGGTGGAGGGGAATGCGCAGAAAATTAGCACACTCAGCAGGATTTCTAATCGCATCGCAGGTGGGAGGGCTCAACATATTACTTATAAAGAGAGCTCTCAGCTGCGTCAATCTGTCTGGACATCTTCATCAAGATATTCTTATCTTTTGACAAGTCAGAGATTGTTTCGAGATGGCTACTGAGACTACGTTTGGGTTGGATTTGGTGAATAAGGCGCCGGAGGTGAGTTGATCTCATATGCCCTGCCGACGAGTAAGCACAAGACTGATCATCTTGATAGGGGACGAAACTATGGGTCAGTCACATTCATCAAAATCCAATACTGCTCCAAACTCACGCACCTCTTCCAGCTGCTCCACTGCGGCAACATCGAGGCAGACGAAGGCTGGTTCATGCGCGGCGGCGGCACAACCACGGCCTCCAACCCGAAGAACATCGCCACCCGCCGCAAAGGCGTCATCATCTCCGTGCTAATCGAACATCCAACCGAAGGCCTGATCCTCTTCGAAACAGGCGGCGGCGACAACTACCCGGAAGTCTGGGGTGCCCCCTTGAACGACATCTTCGCCCGAGTCGAATACACGCCGGACCAAGAACTCCCCGCGCAGATCAAGAAGACCGGGCATGATATCAAAGACGTCAAAGCCGTCATCATGGGCCACATGCACCTGGACCACGCGGGCGGGTTGGAGAATTTCAGAGGGACGGATGTACCGATCTGGATCCACGAAAAGGAGCTCAAACACGCCTTTTTCAGCGTTGCGACGAAGACAGACATTGGCGTCTACCTCCCCAAAGACCTCGACTTCACCCTCAACTTCCGCGCGTGGTTCGGACCTTTCCTCGAAATCGCACCGGGAATCAATCTGCGGCACTCGCCGGGCCACACACCCGGGTTGGCGATCATGCAGGTGAATTTGAGGCAGAGCGGGACGTGGATCTTCACCACGGATCAGTATCACGTGGTGGAGAACTGGGAGAGTGGCGTTCCGCAGGGGTGGTTGGCGAGGGACCATGATGATTGGGTGGCGAGTGATCAGATGATTAAGAGTTTGCAGAAGAGGACGAATGGGAAGATGGTGTTTGGGCATTGTGCCGAGACGTTTTTTAAGTACGAGTTGGCGCCGTTTGCTTATACTTGAATGAGGCTGGCGAACATCGTATGGGGATGGTGCTGGGCATGTCTTAATTTGGGGTTTCTATATCTATGGCTCTAATCAGCCTGCCACTAAGGCAAATTTATCCCTCTTTCGCCTTCTGCTGCTGTTGTACTCGTATCCAAATCTGATAGCCAGCAACTGTCGTCGAAATTGTACTCGCTATGCCAACCACGAGCGGTCCAACAGGAATCCAATTCACCGCCGCGCCAGGGATGAAGATATCGCAGCTATCAATAACCAGTTGCTGATAGACCTTGGCCAGACCCGGGCTTGAGGGCTTGGAGGACTTCTCCTTGGCCCCTGCTGCCTTCGAGTCCTTCACCTTGACATGTCCGTTCGTTTTCTCGTCCTTATCAGCATCGTCCGCAGCCTTCTCAGACACGGGTGCTTTGTGTAGCATGAAGTCGTATATCGAGACCAGGATCGAAGAAACCAACGCAAAGAACCAACACCGATTCGCCTCCATCTGCACCTTCGGGCCCCATTCGAAAGTCGTAACACGCAATGCATTGCTCTGTCATCACCAACAACACACATCAGCCAATAATCTCACACTCATGTCCTCCTTTTCTCCCCACGCTCTATTTGGCGTTTTGAGGGTGGTTTGACTTACTATCGTAAACATCTCCAGGAAGAAATAGAGTCCAAGGAATGACCACTTGGTAACCTCGACCGCCGTCCTCGAAGGCGTGCTTTGTTGTTGGGTGCTGTGGAAGGCGGCCAAGGCGTTACTCCAGCAAGGATGCCATTTTAGGAGGCGGAAGTATCTCCTTCCTGCTTACGCACAACATTAACATTAACATCAATCTTCACCTCCAGTCCATCCCTACTCCATCTCAAAAGTGAGAGACAACGGGATTTGGAGACATACCCAAAGCAAACTGCGCCCTCAGCTTAACCCACAGCGCGAGATCCTCCGGCGTGGTGGACAGGCCGACAAGAATGGTGCAGAGGGATTGGAAGAGGCGGAGGGATTTTTCGAGACCGGGGGTGGTATCGGTGAAAGTGACTATGGACTGGAGCATGATGGCTTCGATGAAGGGTGGTAAGAAATTACTTCTGACGAGGGCTGGTCATTGGTGAGTTGTCATTGTTGTTTGATGAGGTTTACGTGGTGATGTCGTGAGGAAGCTTGCAGGATTCGAGATGGGTGAAACCGACGGTAGGCGGACGAGGATCAGAGACCCACATGGCAGCGACAACGACATTCAGATCTCTAGACGCAAGAGTCGGCGGATGAAAATGGCAGAGTCGCCGCCGAGATTGAAGATGCCACGTTCGCGCCAGATTCTCCGCAATTCGCCGGCCATTGCAACCACAGATTGAGAGATTTGATTGACAAGTCATCAAAATTTGACGACAATTTGACCGGCTAGATCATTCATTCACTTCATAAAACATCCTCGAACACCCTCTCTATCTAATACGAATACCGGAAATTCGGATTCTCAAAATCAGTCCGATCCTCAATCTCCCCAGTAGCCGGCTGAGGAGGACCATACAGCGCATCCCGCTTCTTGTTCCTGGCGACGAGCAGAGCCCGCAAGGCAAATGATACGACGACCTGGCCGGCGACGCAGGCGAGAGAGACCGCACAGCCGGTCGTGTACGTCGGCGCCTCCCTCTCCAAGAACGCATGCGGGCCAATGATATTTCCTGCGCAGTAGGCGAGGAAGACAAAGGCTGTCGAGGTAACACGTTTGGTGTAGCCCGCGACGTTGTTGGCTGGGAGCTGCAGGGCGATGACCAGACTGGCTACGAAGGAGCCCGCGATGTAGCAGCAGATGAGCAGGCCTTTGCTGTTCTCCTCGGTGTGTGGTAGCTTCCAGAGCAGGGATGTTGCGAGTAGGGTTGGGACGAGGTAGAGCGGCATGATGTAGGTTCGGCAGTTGTTGAGCTTGCCTGCTAGCCATGGGCCGCTGAAGACGAAGAAGACTTGCCATGCTCCCGTGGGGATTCCGTAAGCCTGGACGAAGGTCAGTAGGTGTTGTAGTAATGGACATGAGGGTTGTGGACTTACTGTTGTCAGCAAAGAATTGCCACCTGTGAGCCCCTTGATGATGAGCTTGGAGAAATTGGCCAACCCTCCATTGACTGTCTCATTCAGCAGCACGAACAAGAACAGCAACCACACTTGAGCATCCGTCAAAGCTTCCTTGACTTGGGACATCTTGATCGTCGGGTTGAAGATTCCCGTCTGATTCTGCTGCGAGCGAGCAATGAGCATGGCTTTCTCCTGTGGGGTGAATCTCTTCGCCGCCATGATGCTGTTGGGAAGAAAGAACAGCAGAAGGATGCCCCAGCAGACCGTGCAACCACCAGCCAGGATGAAGATCGCTCTCCAGATCTCGAAGCCCTTCGCCTGCCCGACGCCGTAGAAGAGGATGCCGCCCACAGATGCACCGACACCATTGAAGCAGTAGAAAGCTCCTGCTCGTACGGATTGTTCCTTGCGCTGATACCACTGCCCTACAATCATCATGAAGACTGGTGTGATCATGCTCTCGAAGCAGCCGAGGAGAAATCTACAAACGGCGAGGCCAGTGAAGTTTGAGCATGCCGCTGTGAGCATCAGGATAGCGCCCCAAACGATGATAGCGACCGACACCACAGTGCCCGTTGGCAGTTTCTGAGCGAGGTAGGAGGCCGGCCATTCTGCGACGAGGTATCCAAAGTAGAACAGCGACACGAGCCAGGAATACTCGTTTGAGTTCGTGCCCGTCGATGGGAAAAGATCGAAGACGGCCGCATATGACAGACTTTGCTTGTCGAGGTACTGCAACATGTACGTGCCGCACAGCAGTGGCATGAGAAGGAGGTCGACCCTTCGCACCAACTTCTTCATGCTTTCAGTATCGGCCAGCATCGCCTGCATGTCATCGTGGGTGATGTTGTGTTGTCGCAGGAAAATCTCGGCTTGGTCCAGTTCCTTGATCTCTCCTTCTTTCAAATCCATTGGATCCGCCACGGTCATGTCGGCAGACTTCTTCTCGTTCATCTTCTCCACGTCGTTAGACATCGTTCGTTGGACCTCCATGATGGCAAAAATGTTCGAGTTGTTGGAACTTCCAAAGGCCAACCTGGACCTTTATCAAGTCGAACAAGGTACTTATCCGCCATCTTTATCTATCCGACACTCTTAGTATTCCTCAACCGTCACCAATTATCAGTACGTGATTGTTTGGCCGAAGCAATGTCAATGTCTTGGGACTTTGGCCGGCGACACGCCTATCTTCAAGCTGGCCGTGGTGACCCCAGTCCATCTGCCGTGGTTGACTCGTCGTTCTCGGGATATTGGCTAGTTCAGACTGGGGTATTTTGTGGGCGAGCGAAAAGGAAAAAGACGAGAGCGACGGAGCGAGCGAACGATCCAGTTCTGCCGTCCAATCAGCCGAGGGAGCCAACGAGAGACTTTTCACAGATTCGCCGTACAAATCGTGCGAAGATTCCAAGATTTCTAGATACGACATCCCTTCACGTTTCTTGTTATCAACAAGGAGCCTGGTTGTTGTTGCAAGGATGGACAACAAGTTTGAAGGATTTCTGCCACCGGCGACGCCAAAACGCCATGTCTCCCGCTCGGCTTTCCTCTTGGCCCCCCTTCTCGCATTCCTGGCATTGTACAACTTCGTACCTCAGGCAAGGGAATCTGTCCAGGCATTTTTTACCCTCGAAAATTGGGCGGAGTCTGCTCCCAAAGTCACGCTGAAGCAAGGCACTTTGGTTGGAAAGTTGCTGGACGAAGCAAACCATCCGGTTCCGGTCGAGGCCTTCCTTGGAGTCCCATATGCCTTGCCACCGACTGGAGAGCGACGATTTGCGAGAGCTGTACCGGTACCGGACAGCAACGATACATTCCAAGCGAATGAATATTCGTTGAGGTGAGTGGAGAAGGTTGAGGATTTGCAAGTTGAAGTTCAATGTTGACGACGCGGGGTTGCAGATGCCCTGGCAAGCAACTGCTGAGAATTCCCGGAACACCATGGCTCGAGTCGAGTGAAGACTGCCTCACACTCAATGTCTTCAGATGGCGAGGCAGCTTCTCACACCGGACGAAGCACCCGGTTCTAGTCTATATCCATGGCGGCGCCTTCAACCGCGGATTCGCGGCTATGCACGACACGGCATCCATGCTTTCCTGGTCGGAGGAGCCTTTCGTTGCGGTTTCCTTCAACTATCGCATTGGAGCGCTGGGCTTCTTGAACAGTGAGTTGACTGCCAAGGAGGGCCTCCTCAATCTTGGCCTTCACGACCAGAAGCTGGTGCTCGAATGGGTCCAGCAGAACATCGAGGCATTCGGTGGTGATCCCAACGATGTCACGATTGCTGGTCTCAGCGCGGGTGCTCACTCGATCGGTCACCACATCATGGATGTCAACGAGGAGCGCACTTTGTTCCACAAGGCAGTCATCGAGTCTGGCGGCGCTTCATCCCGGGCTGTACACCCACCGGAGTCGAAGCTGCATAAGGTCCAGTTCGACAAGTTCGTAGCAGAGGTTGGATGCGCTGGAAAGCCAGAATCTGAGATCTTATCATGCCTGCGCGAGGCTTCTTCCGAGACCGTCACAGCTGCTCAGACCAAAGTATTCGACGAGTACAACCCTTCCGTGCGATGGGCCTGGCAGCCTGTTCTAGACGACGACATCATCTCTCGCCGACCCCTGGATGCCTGGAAGTCTGGCAAGTGGCACAAGGTCCCAATCATAACTGGCTTCAACCACAACGAGGGCACGATGTATGTCCCGAAGCAGATTAAGAGCTCCAGCGAGTTCACGGATTTCTTCTCGACCCTCCTGCCACAGCTTCACAAGGCAGATCTCAAGAAACTGAATGAGCTCTACCCTGATCCAGCAAAGAATTCTGCATCTCCTTACGTCGATGGCCGCAACCTCTCTGCACTTGGCATCGGCGAACAATACAAGCGGGTCGAGGCTGCATATGGCCACTATGCGTATGTTTGCCCTGTCCGCCAGACCGCCAACTTCGCGAGCGATGGTCAAGAATCTCCTGTCTATCTGTACCACTGGGCAACCAACAAGACAGTCATCGGCGGCGCAAACCACGGCGACCAGATCTGGTATGAGACGATGTCACCTTTGGTGCGAAATGTGTCTCCGACCCACGATGAGATTGCGAGATACTTCAATTCGTACGTTACTAGCTTTGTTGTCACTGGTGATCCGAACGGACTCAAAGGCCGAACTCGAAAAGCCGTGACACGTCCAACCTGGAGCAAGTTCGGCGCAGAGAGAAAGACGATGGTGTTTGGCCTGGGTAATGATGAAGCTGCGGGTGGCAGCAACAAGGGTGTGGCAGCTCAGTTCGTTGATGATGAGTGGGCCAAGGCAGAGTGCAACTTCTGGTGGGAGAAGTCTGAGACGTCAGAGGATTGAAATGCCGGAGGGCACGAACTTGCATAGAGACAGTAAGACCTGGATGCACAGGCAGCAACTCCAAGGAAACAACTATAAACACAGACAAGCAAATCATACTAATACAATCCCAGCACCCAGACAACCCCCCTCAACCCCCCATCTTCCTCCCCGTAAACACCACAAAATACGGATCATCCACAAAATCCCCCCAAAACACCACATTCTCCCTCACCGTCTTCGTCTCCCTCGCCCTCAAAATCTGCACCTCCCCGATCCCCACCATCTCCGGCACATCCCTATGCCCCATTAGACTCTCCTCCAAACTCGTCGCCTCAAACGCAAAAGGCTCGTCCCCACCAACCTCCACATGGCACTTGACACCCCCCGGGATCGGCTCCGTCAACCGCACCGCCGCGCCGTACTTCCTCGTCTGCAGCGACAGACTCCAAGGGTTCGCGAGTCGACACCCCACGACCTGTCCGCCGGGCTTGAGGTACGTCGCGATGTTGCGCCATATCCCCTCGTACGCCTCTAGCGTGCCCGCGTGGTGGAAGGGCCAGATCGCCAATACCACATCATAGCCACCCTTCGGCAGGGCTGGGATGATGACCTGCTCGTGCAGCGGCAGCGTGACGTCGCCCATGATCCACCGAATGACGTCCCTATCGGCTTTCGCCTCGATCTCCTCCCCAATCTCCATCATCGCCATGCTCACATCCACGAGATCGACCTGTCGTGCCCCGGCATCGATCGCTGTACGTGCGTGGTCCCCGCTGCCGCCCGCGAGGTCCAGCACCCGGGCATTAGTGCAGTCGCCCAAGGCGCGTTGGACCAGTTCGTACTCGAGGCGGGAGTGCGGGAGGGCGTGGCGGTGCGAGTAAGCGGAGGGGAAGTCGTTGTAGAGGGCTTGGGGTTGTTGCTCGGAGTAGGAGCCCATCATGGTCATTGTCTCGGAGTAGTTTCTGTTGTGGGATTTGGCGTGCGAGGTTGGGTATTTTCTGCTTCGATGGCGGTGGGGTTTGGAGGCGTGGCAGCCCATTCGAAGGATATGGCGAGATGTGTTCGCTCGAGGTGTTTTGATGGTCTTGGGAGCTTTACCCCCCTTTGCTATTTACTGTCCTTCCCATGTCTGCTATACTCTGCTAGGAGGCTCGAAGAGGTGTGCACAATACATTCGGATGCGGACTACCTGGTAGCCGATCATGCATTGGCTGGGATATCCAGGCAAGACGGGCTTGTTGTGTCGTGGGGCAGCCTTGTGGGCTTCCATTCGTAGCGAGAACGTGGTCCTGATGCTTGCACGCAATCCACGAAGCGTAGGGTCTCATGGGAAGATCAGCACGAGAGATACATGGTTATGCGCGCGGACACCGACCAGGTGAGTGAGGACAGGCAGCGGGAAGGCGACGGTTCCAAACGTCAGGCAGGCTAGAAAGAAGAGCTTCAACCACACTCTGGGTACCGAGAGAACGGGACTCGGCAGCTCATTACAGAACCCCAGAAAAGGTTGTTTTCGCGGCTGCATGGATCAGGCTGCTATACATTTAGAAGGATTGTTAACTCATTTCAACGTGTCGCTATGAATACGATCAATCAGAGAAGTGACTGGAGCCCCTTTTAACTGACCCCCTTTTTGCTACCTGATGCTTTCAACTGATCTGAACAGCCCGAACGACACTCTGTGCAAGTGCTGTGTTGTTGGCAACTAAAGCCATTGGCCAGTCATACCGATTTCCAAGATGCTCCCCTTTCTCAAACCCCGTCAAGTCTCTGGACCTCTCACTCTCGTCAAGATTCAAAGACGACCATGCCATGTCCTCCCCCTCAAGCCCTCTTCCCCTTCCCCTTCGCCACACCATCACCACCCCCAAACCTCCCCACCAAAAACGCAACCCCCGCCAAAGCCTCCCACGCCAAAACCGGATAAAAACACCCCCGTTCCCACAACCCCAACTGCGTCAAATAATTCCACTCCCCCAACGTAAAAGCCCAGCGATAAAAACTATACAACCCAGCCGTCCCCAAAACCCCACTCCCCACCCGATAAACCACACTCCGCTCCACCTCATGGACTTGAGCCGGCACCGCCGCCACTAGGATGGAATTGAGATTCCCCGCGATGGCCGCCATACCCAGCCCCATCCAATGCCACCCGGCGATTTTCCACACGCGCTCGCGCGGGCCGCCGTGGACCTGCGCGAAGAGGACCATGCCCGCGACATACACGAGCGTCAGCACCGTGCGGAGGCGTCTCACGAACGCCAGACCCTGCGTCGTGGCCCGATGTCGACTGCCCCAGAAGAGGCCCAGCTGTGCGAGTCCGAAGAGGGTTCCGGCGAGCAGGAAGAGGAAGTTGATGGTGCCGTGGCGGAGGGAGGTGACATTGTAGTGTTTGAGCTCGTGCACTTGGCGGTAGTTGATTCCCAGGTCCGTGAGGGACTCGATTAGGATGTTGTAGGTTGGTTGGGAGTGCGCGAAGCCTTGGATTGAGTAGTATTCGAAGATCGGCCAGGTGAGGGGGGCGGCTATGAGGAGGAGGGTGGGGAGGAGGGGAGTTCTTGTTTGGGGTGGCATTGTGTTTGCTTGGGATCGTTGATGTTCGTTTGGATGTGTCGGTGATGCGGTGGTGTTGTTGAGTCCAAGAAGTCCAGCAGATCTGTCAATAATCCAGTCCTTGGAGGCGAGAGAACACCGGCTGAGGAGTCGAAAGCCCGAACGTCCTCAATGCCAACCTCTCAGAGAGTCAGGCTATATAACCAGAGCAAAGCACCTCACTTCAACAAAAACGCCTGTCCTCTGCCCAATGCCAGAAAACGCGTGACGTCCCCTCACCTGTAGAAGCAAGAGGCTGGTAATAAACATATTCCTCCACTGTGACTGGCCCGAGGTACATGCAAACCTTAACCTTAAAAGCAATAAGAATTGAAGATCTTGCTGAATACGTACGGGGCCGAAAAACACAGTCTTTGGCACCAACGGTGTCTTTGTTGTTCGTGAATTGGAAGGGATAGATATTAACGAGGAGTATCTACACTGCACCAGCTCTGGCGTCTTCGCTTGATGTTGTCGGTGGGTATCCTGACGACTCGGGCACGGCAACATGAGCGATGACCTTCTTGCCGTTGGCTTTGTAGTGCAGAATGACGTCTCCGCCGCCTCTCCACAGATGCGTTCTTACGGACATGAGGGTCGTAGTTGGTGGGACGACCTGGGAAAGTCAGTAACACAATCAATCATAACAGCAGAATAATGGTTTTCACTCACCTGTCCCTGACACCACAACTCCAAATACTCCTCCGGCTTCATCCTCCCCTTCTCCTCCTCTTCCTTGCTCGGTGCGGGTTCAATTCGCTCAGCAATATACGCCAGGATCTTCCTCGCCCGTAGCATGCGGTTAGCATTCAACCGGTTGTTCCCATCGCTGGCGATACTGGGCAAGCCGCTGCCCTGTCCCGGCTCCAGGATGAAACTGATCTTAACAATGTCCTTCACTGGAAGCTGATTCCGGAGCAGTACTTCGCCCAGCCACATTGGTGCGGTTTTCTCGACGATGTCGGTCATCTCTCCAAGTGCGCCCACGGTCCCCTCGAAGAGATCTGCTACGCCGCCAGCTTCTGGTCGATCTTCTTGGATGAGGATGGTTGTGTTCGGAGGTGGTTTCAAGACAGGTGTGTCGGCTGGTAACGAAGGGGTGATGGCGGTGGGTATGTCGATGGTTGATGCGGGGACGGGCAACCCATTTTCGTGCGCCTGCTGATTCTGGATCTGCTGTTGAAGAGAGTCCTCATACGCAAAGCGAATCTTTTGAACAGTGCCAAGCAGGTTCTCATCAACAATTCGGCTGGTGCTGGTTCGACTCGATCGAGAGTCGCTTTCGTTTTCTCCCTTCTCTTCCACAATAGCCGGCTTATCATTTGTCTGCGTCCGTCCCATCTTCTTCATGCCGCTGAACATGTTCATACGGAACTTCTTTCCAAAGAGCCCCTCCTTACCGGGAGTTGTGCCATCTTTGGGTGCATTCTCGTTCAATGGTGTTGGCGGCTCCTGGCCTTCGTTCGGCGTTGTTGCGGGTTGTGAAGTGCCTGCAGGGGTCGTGAGTTCTGCGCTGGGTACTCTTGATGTCGAGAAGTAGTCTGCCGTTTTATCGGTAGATTGCCGGTGCGATTGCGAGGACAGCGTTGGCTCTAACGGTGCGCCCTCGTCTACAGTCGTCGGGATCTGAGCTCTAGTCAGCGCGGGCGATGCTGTCCCTCCTGGCGTGGCAAGGCCAATGTTGAACCCGGGGGTATTCGGCACTTTGGAAGTCCCGTTCGAGATGGCTCTTGGTGTTGTGGCTGTCGCTGAAGAGGTAGGATGCCACCCATTGGCCTGTGACTCGGGTATTTGTATGCTTGATGGTGCGTTGTCTCGCTGTAACCTTTGCTCTTCCCGAGTATTCAGCAACTGTCTTCGAAAGACATTGTCCCGTTTGATCTCCTCCGATATTAAATTATTGAATAGGTACCTCAACACCCACTTGCCAAGGTTGATGCGCTGATCTTCTCGAAACTCGACGCCGTCATCCAAATCCAGTTCGTCGGCATACATCTCGGCGTCGAAGCAAGTATTCTCTTCCAGTATTACCGCCACACTCCCCGTTCTCGTATCGACGGTGCACCAGTTTGCCACGCTTGCAGGTGTTGTGACCTCGTCTTTGACATCTTCCAAATGACGCTTTCCGAACGATCGGATCGGCACACACTTGAGCAAATCCCACATAACCACCTCGCCTGCGGTATCTAGCGTTAGTACTCGTTTCCTATCGTTGAGCATGACATGCTTGATAAGCCCATTCTGCCCTTCGACAGAGAAATCTGGGTGGCTGCGGACAGGTTGCATCGCAGCAATTTCTGGAGTTGTCGTATCGAGAGTTGCCCTTCTCGCGTTGGGAGAATTCGACTCTGCCTCGACCAAAGGCGTTGGGAAATAAGCTGTATTGCTCAATCGAAGAACATGCTTCAAAGGTATCTTTCGCTTGCCAGAAGCCAACTGTGGAGGTGGACTGGGCGTCATTTCTCGCTGGTTTGGCGGACTGGGATATCTTGCCCTGGCAGTAGCAGAGCTGAGTCTGTGAGTGTTGTAGTTCTCGGGAACTTCAATCTCGAGGTTGTCAGTGTTGACATCTAACCATCGATTAATACTTGGTCTGCTGGTCGCTGTCCAAATGCTGTCACCGGCAGTGACGACTTTGTGTACGCCCTCGTGTTCCTGGCAGACAGCTACCGACAAGCCTTCATCCAATTCGATGGTGTTCCGCGTGTCAGTCTTCGCGATGAGGCCATTCTTGTCACTGGAGTAGAAGATGGACAGATCAGGATCAGAAGACGCCAATGACCAGACGCTGGCATCGTGCATGGTCAAAGTGAACATGCAACGACCTGCTATTGTGCTCCACACCTTCACGGTGTGATCACTGCTGGCAGTCATGATCGTGGATCCGTCTTGGCTGACCAGTATGTCTCTGATGTTGTCCGTATGTCCGACCAGTTTCGTCACGCGCTTCCCTGTTCGGCAATCCCATACTCTCACTGTACTCTCAGGACCTCCGCTAGCGAGTAGCGAGTTGGTTGCTGCCAGCGCATAGACACTGCCCTTCTCTTTAGCAGACATGTTGGCAGCCTCATCAGCGTCGATGTCTATGCTCAATCTCTCCCCAGCACCACTCAGATCCCACACCTTGATCTTTCTATCGAGGCCACCACTGGCCACCCAGTCGCATGTCGAATACGGCACAGCAAGAGTCTTGACATAGTCGCTATGCAATCCCAGCGTCTGTGGGGGAAGGCCATCGCTTGCTGAGGGTCGCCAAAGCTTGACAGTGATATCTGAAGAGGCAGAAATCAGCGCCTGATTGGACTGAGCCAGCGCAATGTCGTTGATCCAGTGTGTATGCGCCTGGACTTGCTGTCGAAAGGTGGTCGCGGGGGAGGCTGGTAGCTTCGCACCGTGGGCAGGTGGCTTCGCATTCTCGAGGTCGAGGTTGACGTCCCAGGCGCATATGACACCGTCGCGGCCGCCAGAGTAGAGCAGTAAGTTGGTCTGATCGACGGCGAGACCGTTGACGCCTAGCCTGTGGCCGCCCGCAGCGTTGGCGAGAGGCAGGACATAGCTGATACGCTGTCGTGCCTTGCGAGCCATGAGCAGCTGCCAGGAAAGCCACCAAGGCTTAGAAGAATGTCCTGTGCCCCGCTCTCACGGCAGTGCGATATATGCTGTGTCGCTGGTCAATGGTGGGCGTGGATATTCGTATGATGGCTCCGTCTCTAGCCGACGCAGCTCAAGGCGCATTCATCGAAGGCGGCAGTGGGCGTGAGGAAGGATGCTGGCGGTGGTGGGCTCGTCGGTATGGCTGGGAGATGCAGAGGGCGTTCATGGCGGCACGGCGCATTGCGAGGCTATGCTCTTGCTGTTGCTGCTGCTGCTGCTGCTCGCTCCGTCTCCGTCCTTCCTTCGCTTAATGCTTGCATCGTAGCGTGCTGCCACGCGAGCCGGTACGTCATGCGAAAGGCTTGGCATGGAACTAGCGGGCCGGGAGAGCCCCTGAATCGGATGAACTTTCAACTCCATCTTCAGTAGTGTGCACATCGAAGATACCGTAGCATTGCAGTAAGGCCGTAGCAAATCATATGAGCATTCTCGATGACTATTGTTCACATGGGCTTTTTAGTCAATGGCGAAGTGAAGAAAGGTGAAACGTAAAAGCAGCTTTCATGTGATCAATCGTATTACCGCGCGAGTCTGAACTACCGCACTCCCGCACTACTTTCTGCATCTGTGTGCAGCGAAATCTCAGCAGCCGGTCTGCTGCTCAAAATACAAAACATTGCCTCCATGCAAGAGCCTTTGCAAACCAGGGGGTATCTTCCGCTCTTGCCAATCCGACAAAACGCCTCGCCAAGTGACCTCCTGTTGCTCCTCTCGCTATGCAGAATCATCAAAAACGCCGCGCTGATACAATCGTCCTGTTTCGTCCTTCCTTCTTTCCTTCTGATCTCTTCCTCCGCTTTAGTCCTCAATCGGACGCGTGTGGTCGACTTCGTCTCCGGTCAAGCGGATCTGGTACAGGCAGGTGTGATATGCGCCCCAGTTGCTGGTGACCTTGAGAACGACATTCGGAATCTCGAGTCCGATATCCCATGGGTTGGACGGGAAATAGAAGGACTGCAGGTAGTTGTGTCCGTGAATGTCGTATTCGCCCATCAAGGCGCACACCCACGCATTGCCGTTGTCGGCAGAGCTACTGCTTGGCGGGTCGCCGCAATCACCTGGCCAAATCTGGCTTCCCAGGTCTTGGATATTCTGCTTGACCTTGTTGGCCTGCTCTTCCGAATCCATCTTGACCCAGACCTCAAAGTTCCTAGGCGCCGCAGCGATATCACGAGTTCCGGTGGCCGGGATGTGCTCGATGATGAAGGCGTTGGGATAAACCTTGTAAGGCAAGCTCACGCCCATTTGCAGCTTGACCGTTGCATTCTCGGGCGAATCTGCACACCAGCAGTCGGTACTCTTATACCATTCGGTTAGGGCGGTCGACGTCGGGTGCACAGGCCTGTGCGGTCGCGCTATTCCCACAGTCCACCACATCCACCGGCCCAGCTGTTGCGCGAGTGATGGCTTGCGCCAAGTGGCTGAAGTGTACTTATGTTGCACGGCGGCTCCGTGGTCGTCGGAGAGGTAGTTGATCTGCCGCATGCGGGTATCCATGTTGACAACGAGGTTTGAGTAAGCCAGAGCCCTGATTTGGCCCTTCGCAAGATGGGTGGATTCGAACACGTCCTTGGCGACCTTCTGGGCCACCATTTTGGTTTCTTGTAGGATGACCGACTGAAGAGTGCGAAGCGTCTCGTTGAATGTCTGTTCCATTTCGTGGTTATTGCTTGCAAGTATGGCCTGGAACTGCTCGCTGGTGACGAGATGGTGCTTCGCGACGGCACCGCCTTCAAGCTCAGAATCGACGATTTTCTTCATGGTCGTGTGCATCTTGGCCTCATTCGTCGCGAGAAATCGGTCCCAGAGCGGCGCTGATGCTTTCGTGTCGTCCATTTTCTCGATGAGAGCCTGCCAAAAGGCCGGCGGAATGGTGGGCTTTCCGTCGTCGCCGTCACTGGCAACTGCGATGAAGTTCGGTAAAACTCGCTGTATCTCCGTGACACTCTCATTGAGCAAGCCCACCGTCTCGTTCAACGCATTGTGGCTGACCTGCAATTTCTTGAAATCATCTACAATTCCATAAAAGATCCTGTTTAGGATTTTCTGCTGCCCCGCATAGTCCGCCGGCACCAGATTGGTCTCTTTCCCGAGTGACATTGCTGTGTGATACACCCAGTGATCTCTTGCCAGTGACCACTCGTGGGTTGGCATCGGGACGACTGAGAAGATGGCTGCTGTTGATATCAAGTATGATATGCACGTGATCCAGGAGAAAGCAAGAAGGAACCAGAACAACTTCGTTCCGATGAACTGGCAGGCGGTGGCGATGAAGATTGCGAGCCAATGTGGCTCGGGAGTCGGAGGTGGTGGAGTTTGAGCCTCTTCTTCTGCCTGTGGCTGCCGTCGGCGTCGAGGATGAGGTTGAGGGGTAGGTTGAGGTGGAGACTGTCGAGTTTGAGGAGGTGACCGCCGCGGTGCCTGAAATTCTGGCTGTGCCGCTGGCTGCGGGTCTGGCTGTTGAGTTGACAATCCATTGCCATAACCAGTCGAGTCGACGCCAGTGGCTGGACGATGGCTGTCGGCAGAGTCTGGACGGTTGTTCTCCGCTGGCCTGGGGGCGGCCACGCCATTGACGGCGACGTCTTGGGGTTGGTCGGCTGCAGGTCTCGGGGTTGATCGTCGGACGGCCGATTTCTTCGGCTCTGGTCGCGGCGGTGGTGGCATTTCGCCTTCGTCGCGTGATTTCGCGAAGGCATCGTCAATGGCGGCTTGTGAGGTTGTGACTTGATTTGTGAGGGCGGCTTTGCCTCTCGAGCCGTATGCGTGAGATTGGCGGGTGTCGACCGCAGGGAGAGGAACAGGAGTGCGTGAAGATGCTCTCGTTACACGCGCAGGCGTATCCGCCTTTCGTGGCGGCATGGCGGCGGTGGTATGGTGTTTGTCTGTGGATGGAAGCTTGTCGAGTTGTCGAGGGTGTTTTGTGTGGATTCACTAGCGCCGGGAACTTCGGCGCGCTCTTCCCGCGCGGACGTTTCCTAGCCGACGCCGATCGCCGACTTCCCGCGCTGCGCAGATGTTGGAGGTGAATATAGGTGAATCCCCGGTTTGAATAGGAGCACTGTTAGATGGAGAGAGTTTGCAATGGGACGGCCAGTCTTGTATTCTTGGGGATGCCGGCTGCTTTCAGCGATTGCGTTCCAGTGAGTTTGCCTTTGTTTACCAGCAATGCGGCTCAGCGGATCGCTGCAGGGCTACCCTGGCGCGGAGAAAGCTCTCGTCTTTCTTTCAACTTCACCTCTTCGCCTCTCCACATTCCCTTGGCTTTGTCGCGTACCATGCCCTGCAAAGGCTTGACTGCAGAATAGGTGAGCGAGTGTTCCGGGAGATCGCTGCAACATGTAGGTTGTGTTCAGCAAATCCCCTTGCTTGCACGCAGGGCGCAGCGCAGGACGTATACTGGACGCACTGATCTATTGGCCGGAAATCTCAATGACAATGCATACAACCCATTCTATCAACATACTGTACACGCAAAACGCACATTCAACCCTGCTAATTACGCTTCGCCACCACGCCCTCCCTCGACCCAGGATACCGATCCTGCACCTCCCCAACATTCGCCGCCCCTTTGCTTGGATCCAACCCATCCCTTATCAAATACACCCTCCCCTCCCACGCCTGCAACAACTCCCTCGTCTTGGCCACATTGCTCGCCAGCAAATGATACGAATGGCCGAGCAAATGCCTCTGCAACGTATTCAGGGGTAGTTCATCATTCGAGAAATTGAGGATCACGAGCGCCATCTGTCCCGTCGTGGACATCTTGGTATATGTGAAAGTTCGGGGGTTGTCGTAGTCGTATAAAGCGAATGTGCCGAACATGAAGAGTTCGCGGTGGAGTTTGCGCATGGCGATGCGGGCGCGCCAGAAGTTCCAGATGCTGTCGGGGTCAAGTTGTTGGGCCTTGACGTTTAGCCAGCTGTAGTTCTCGTTGATCCGCATCCAGGTTGGGTTGCTGCCGGTGAAGCCGCCATTGGGCTCGTCGCTCCATTGCATTGGTGTGCGGGAGTTATCGCGGCCGACTTTGAAGACGCCTTTGATGGCGTTTTCGCGGGCGTTGGGGTCTTTACGGCGGTTCAAGTTGCAGTAGTCCTCGATGTAGATGAGGGCATCGGGGTCGCGGAACTCTGAGACTCCCCAGCTCTCTGGCATATTTACCATACCGATCTCCTGGCCCTGGTAGATGAATTCGGTTCCGGAGAGAGTTGTCTGCAGGAGGGCCAAAAGCTTGCCAGCTTTTCGCCAGTATTTCGGTTCTGGAGTTGCATAGCGGGCAATGCTGCGTGGCTGGTCATGGCATGAATCGAAGACAGTCCCCCAGGCATTGGTATCTGTGATGAGGTTCTGGACTTTCTGAATGGCACTCTTGAACTTGGGGAGCGTGAAGCTGGAATTCTTATCCATGAAGTTACAGACCTCGTGCTTGGCGAACTCATCCGGGTTATCGTTGTTGCCGAGCTTGACCATATCGAAGTCGAATACCATAGACAGTTCGTTTCTGTCGGGGATGACATATTTGAGAAGCTCGTCGTAGGGCGTTAGGGGCAGCTCGCCCACCAGCATGAGGTCTTTCCCATTGGTGTCCCTTGCCATCTTTGCACGAAGTTCCTGCAGCCATTCGTGCATCTTGGGTCCATTGATATAGTGCTTGCTACCGGGTTGCCATTTGCCAGCCACCGTGGGCTCAACATCCGGGTACTTCGGATCCTTGTGGAAGCGATTGGCCGTATCTACCCTGAAGCCGTCAACCCCACGATCTAACCAGAACTTAACAGCATCTTGGTATACTGCCTCTCGAACATCAGGGTTCTCCCAATTCAGATCGGGTTGAGAGCCGAGGAAGAGATGGATGAAGTATTGTTCGCGCTCCTCGGCGTACGTCCAAGCACTTCCACCAAACGCAGCTCGCCAGTTCGATGGCTCCTCGACTAGCTCGCCCTCGATCTCATTGCCTGGCCGCTTGTCGGCCCACATGTACCAGTCGGACTTCTCGTTGTCCTTCGACTTGCGACTCTCCAGGAACCAAGGGTGCTTGTCACTGGTATGGGTGATGACGAGGTCCAACAAGATCTTCATGCCACGCTTATGTATCTGATTGATAAGCTCCTCCATGTCTTCGATCGTACCGAATTGTTCATGGATCTCAGTATACGAGCTGATATCATAACCCCAATCATCCATCGGAGACTTGTAAGTTGGAGACAGCCAGATCACATCGACTCCGAGGTCTTTGAGATAGTCGAGCTTGGAGATTATTCCTTGGATGTCTCCAATACCATCGCCGTTGCTGTCCTTGAATGACATTGGCCAGACTTGGTACGCTACGACGCCCTTCCACCAAGGTCGCTTCTCCTCTTCGCCTTGCAGCTGTGGGTAAGGGAAGGGAATGAAGTCGGAATCTTCTGCATCAGAGAGAACCGTCATCTCTGAGTATCTCCTCTTCGTAGGCCTTGGTGGATTTGCGGAATTGGAAGCGGATGCCATGGTGAACTTAGTGTTTCTCGAATAGAAGTGGTGGACCGTAGGTACGATAGGAGTTTCGATTGCGTGGTAGGTGATATCGACGTTGGGGTTTGCAGTTGGTAGAAAGGGTAATGCTGAAGCGAGCACTGTGGGTATTAGCGGAGTAGGCATATATACGGTATAAATGTGTGCCTGCTGTCCACATGAAGCACCAAACAATAATGTACGCCGTGAGCATGGGCTATACGGATGACCATGAAAGTCCCATGGCATCCTGCAAACATACATTCCAATGGAGCATCAGCAGCACTTCGAACGTTTGCTGGTCGACATATCCACGTGAATGCTGCATAGCCTGGTTTCGCCCTACTAGTTTTTCCGAAATCTCCCGGATATCGCTACAAGAAGAAGCAAAATGCCACTTTCACTGTCTGCCTGAACGCTGTGGAATCCACTGGGATCATTCATTGAGGAATCGAGCAACAGGGCCACTCTCAACTTCGGGGAAGCGAATACAGGCATTGGCAGGAACACCGCGAGACATATCCCGAAGTCCAGCCAATCTTTCCGTCTATACGACCAGCCCATAGAGTTCGGACGCTTCTACAAAACCGTCGCAGGCTGACTACAATCCATATCAAATGGCTGTCCCCTCATGGGAGTCCTGCAGAGCAGACCAGACCTCAGTAATGAACTCTGAGTTAGCATTCGAACTATCCCGGATTGTTCAGTCTAGAGAGAGCCTTGTAAAGGAGGTTTGAAGATGTACATAAAGTGAGAGTGAAAGTCAAGTGAAGTTTTCTGCCAGCACTCAACGCGTGAAGTCGCGCCTCGCGCGTCGTTGCCCAGGTGACGACATCAAGCCAAACCTTAAATCTAGCCCACCCTTCCCACAACCCTGACATACATCTCACCAGACATTGGTCCAACAGCAGCACACATAACCGCACGACGACGACATCCTAATACCGCCAACATGTCTCCGAAACGCAAATCTACTGGTCCTCGCAGCGCTAGTCAAAGCCAGCAGTCTACCCTTTCTTTCGCCGGCAGGAATAGCAAAGTCACCAAAGCATCGTCGCCGCGGAATGCTAAAGGTTCCAAGAAGGATCCGGCATTGTTTGAGGATATTGCCAGTACAGATGTGAAGGCCGAAGCAGAGCCTGATCTTGAGGAGCCGACGACCGCGGATGTAGCAATCGAAGAGCAAGCCGAAGCCGAACTCGACCCTCTCGCAGCAGCAGACATCAAGACCGAAGACGTCCTAGGCGGTCGCGCAGAAGAGAGCGAAGCAGGTGCGGCAGGAGGCAGAGATGGCTCAGGCTGGATATCAGATGAAGCAGAGCGAGCACGCAAGATTCCCACGACGCAGATCAACAAGTACTGGAGAGCGAAGGAGCAAGAGCGGAAAGCACCGAGGGTACATCAGCAGGACTTAACTGTGTCGGAGAAGATCTTGAGGGAGTGGGATATGAGCAATCAATACGGGGTAAGCACACATACAGCTCGAGGCATGATGTTGTGCAGGTGCTAACGAGTTTGACTGCAGCCAGCGATAGGCATCGCTCGCCTGAAGCGGTGGAAGAGAGCAAACATGCTCGGACTGGAGCCTCCGATCGAGGTCCTCGCGGTCCTGCTTAAGGATATGGACGATGGGAGCGCAAAGTCGCAGAGAGCTTATGTGGACGAGTTAATGAGCTCGCGCTTTGTGGAGACTTGAATGTGCAAGTCGATACTGCTTTCTGTATTCTACGACTGGAAAGATGGCGTTCGGCGGCGTCGACGGGGCTACTGTATACCAAGAGGGAGGTTCTGGGTTGCTCATTCGGTGGATGGCTTGGACAATGCATTATTACTCGCTTCGCTGGAGGTTCATGAAGTACCCTTGCTGTTCACTACAATGAAAGTCACAAGACTCTTACTTCTAAATCCTTGCTCGGCGTCAGAATCTTTTCCACCTTTGTCGCCTAATCACAAAAACGGCCTTTGAAATGAGTGCGGTGCATCGAACGCTCATATATCGAATACAATACATACGTACATCACCATCTCTGGTAAAGTAGCGCTACAAATCTACTTTCCGCGCTACAGAAGCCTTGGGACGCCTGCAAATGCTCAATCGTTACACACTGCCTTGCATTGTGGCTTGCCTCTGATCAGAATTTTATCAGGGCCTGGCGATTCGATTGCTTTGGACTTCGTGCTCAAGGTTTGCCTCATGATGCCGCGATCATGAGGAGTTTGCCCCAGTGAAAGGGTCTGCGTTGCCGCTCAGTAGCAGCCCGATGATCAGTCCAAAAAGCCCAAGCACGGACGAGAAGATCTCAATCACGAGGACCTTGACGAATCTACCGAGTGTCAGTTATGTCCACGCTTGCCAGCTGTTCCCAACTCACAAGCTTGGATCTGCCGCATCAGCCAGAGCAGCGCTCGACCCGTTGATGCCCACACTGATGCCGCACACCAGATTGCATGCACCGACAAGTAGCCCAGACCAAAAGAGTGCGTATCCAGTAAAGTAGTTTCCGGCAGAGTATAAGCCCTCATCCGATACTGGCTCCATCTTGGCCGAGAAGACAATGCTCATAATGACGCCGTAGATAGCCACGACTTCGCAGAAGATGATGGAGATCAAGTTCTTCGTCCGGATTCGTGGTGCCTTGACACCTCCTCCAAGAATCGATGTGCCGGTGATGAAGATGCCCCTGTGTATCCACTCGACTCAGTATATGCCCTTGCCTGTTTCTGGCTCGTCTTTCGGTACTGACCATGCTGCTCCAACCACTGACAGTCCTATGCAAAGTCCGATTCCTGTTGATGCCCATGCGAAGGGTGATATCGATTCGAGGAACGCGCCGACGTTAAAGGCTTCGCCTTCGCCTTGGAAGAGCATGTCTGGGAGGCATCCATATTAGCAGCTTCCCCGTCTTGTCCCACTTCCATTCTTGGCATACATAAGCCGATGATGACCAGGGCAGTACCCGCGCCGGAGGCGCCATATGTCAGGCCGCTCATGGTTGTGTTGATGTGGTTGAGACACGAGTGAAGTGAACGTCAAGCTGCGCCTGCATGACATCTGAGAGCATCTGAGCTTCGCGACTTGGGCGGAAGCTCCCGCCGCTAGCTTACATAACGACTGCTGCGGCGGAGGGACAATGACTACCTCCACCTCACCACCACCACCCTTTCTCCTGCCACACCTCGACACGGCAAGCACATAGAGGTCGTCGCCTGCTCAAACATTCGAAACACCGCGATTCGTCTCCGGCGACATCACCAGTCCATCGCCAGTCAGCGAACATGGCGCAACCCACGAGCCAGCAGGGCTACTACGAGTTGTACAGAGGCACTTCGTAAGTCTATCGCTTGCGCAGTTTGTAACACACATACTGACACGCATCTCAGCATCGGCCTCGCTCTCGCAGACACCCTTGACGACCTGATCAGCAGCCGCCGAATCGAGCCCCAGCTCGCCATGCGCATCATGGCCAACTTCGACCAAGCGATCGCAACCGTTCTCGGAGACAAAGTCAAAGCGCGCATGAGTTTCAAAGGACACCTGGACGTCTACCGCTTCTGTGACGAGGTCTGGACCTTTGTGATCAAGGACGTCAAGTTCAAGATGGACAACTCGCAGCAGATCGAGGCGGAGAAGGTCAAGATTGTGGCGTGCCAGAGCAAGGACAAGGCTGCGTAGGACGCATCCCACGTGCGTCATTCTTTTCCGCCCATAAAACGAGAGTAATTGCAGAAAGCGGTCATCCTTGCGTGCTGGACGAGCGACCCCCTCTGGCCGAATCGCACATCTCGAGGTTATTAGATACCTGGAACGGCTGAAAGACACCATCATCATAAACACAAAAAAGAATCCGCACGGGAAGCATCTCTCAACAAGCCGTGTCCGATAGAGGACCATCCGAATACCGGAGAACGTCGACATTCGTAGAAATTGGATGGATCGCGAACGGCGTTGGTGATAGAGATTGCTCGTCCTACCGGGCTACAGAGCGGACCACATCAGAATGGTTGGAGCCCGACACTGCCTCAAACAGCAATGAGGTTCTTATGATACCCATGAAATCGACGACAGAATGCTGCACTTCTAGAGTAGCTGATGAATGAGAATTGCTACTCAGACATTTCCCTCCGTGCTTTCTACAATCTTTGACCATTTTATGATTTTGGACATGTTTTCCTGAGTATCTTCGCTACTACATTGACAGCATTGTTTACTCCACTCATCAATCGTTGCCAATGCAAACGATATAGTCTTCGGGAACGACTTCCGCGTTTAGTCTAGGTGATCGGAATCGTCAATCTCTTCCGCATGTGCACGCCGTTATCATCGCTAGCTCTCCACCGTGCAGAACATCTTAGTCACTACTACCGACAGCTATTAGACCGACCGATGTAAGTCCTCAATTGAGCAGTCCTGACTGACTGTGCTCTGTGTTTGTTGTATATCTTTGCTTTCTACCTTTTTGTCTTTGTTGAAGCAGTGGGAAGAAGAAGCGTAGGAAGACAGCACAGTAAGCGACTGTTGCCATACCGCTCTGTTCGCCTCTTCTTCACGCTCCATTGCTTCGTTATACGGCGTAGCAGCTTTACTTGTACAAGACCTTTCGCGGTACACGGCATCCTACAGCTCCCGAGCTACTCGTAACCACCAACGGTGATCAGAAAGAGCTAGGCGCCAGCAGCAGCAGTGGTGAAGCATTGAGGCGCGGCGGTCAGAGTTAAGGAAGACAAGAACAGGCGATACTAGAGCACAAGATGAGCAGCAACAGACCTATCGCGGCACGGAACCGCAGCGACTCGCCCTCGACATCGCGAAGCTTAGGAACAAGCTACAGACAGCAACACATCGCAGCGATCGCCGAAGAAGCCATTGCGCAAGACCTGCAAGATGAGGACTTCCCGGGTGACGAGGAGCAAGATGGAGGATTGGGAGACGGGGACCTTCTCAGCAGGATTCAGACAGCACCTGAGATACCCGCCATGGGACCACACAGTATGACAGGGCACTATCGTCGGCCGTCGTACATGGCTGCTACGGGGCGTCCCTTCTTGGGAGCTCAGCAGCCAGAGAGTGTGGTGCCTGTGGCGCAGGACTGGGAGGCAGCGATTGGAGAGGAGAGGAGCTTGTTGCGAGACAATAACATCATTCCACCGAAACATCCGCGACGGAGGGAGAGTGGGGCGAGTGACAGAGGGTTGAGGAAGATGATTAGTACGACATTCAGCATTCGGAAGAGGAGTGTGCAGGCGGAGGAGGACGGGGATGGAGATGCTATCTTGCCCACCGAACAGACGGCGTTGCTTGGGAATGGTGTTGAAGGAAGGGATCCCAATGCGCCGTATGGAGGAGAGGACAGCCCGGAGAATATCTCGAGGAAGTGGGAGGAGGCTGTTGAGGGAGGGAAGATCCACACGAGTTGGCAAAGAGAAGCGAAGACATTGACGAGATATTCGGCGCCGCTGATCTTCACATTCATTCTACAGCAATCACTCACTTTGACGAGTGTGTTCACGGTGGGACACATTGGAAGAAATGAGCTGGGCGCTGTGAGTTTGGGCAGCATGACTGCAAATATCACCGGATATGCAGTGTACCATGGACTTGCTACATCCTTGGATACACTCTGTGCGCAGGCCTACGGCAGTGGGAACAAGAAGCTTGTTGGCCTGTACCTGCAGAGAATGATCTTCTTTCTCTGGGCCATCACAGTCCCCATTGCGATCCTCTGGGCTGCTTCGACACAAATTCTCTACAAGATCGTCCCGGAGAAGGAGATCGCAGAGTTGGCCGGAAACTATCTGAAAGTACTGATTATTGGAGCACCAGGCTATAGCTCGTTCGAGGCTGCGAAACGATACGTCCAAGCACAAGGCCGCTTCGACGCCACGCTCTATGTCTTGCTCATCGCCGCACCGCTCAACATCCTCATGCACTACCTCTTCGTCTGGGTGTTCAAATGGGGCTTCATCGGGTGTCCCATCGCGGTCGTCACCACCGAAACCCTCATGCCCATCCTCCTCTTCCTGTACGTCCGCTTCGTCGGCGGAATGGAGTGCTGGCCAGGCTTCACCCGCAAGGCGTTCAAGAACTGGGGTCCCATGGTCCGTCTGGCCCTCCCCGGTCTTGTCATGGTGCTCGCCGAGTTCCTTGCTTTCGAGATCCTCACACTGGCTTCCGCACGCATCAGTGCCACCCACCTCGCGGCAAACACGATCCTCCAGTCCCTCAGCGTCCTGTCCTACCAGCTACCCTTCCCCCTCTCCATCGCAGCCTCCACGCGAACCGCCAACCTCATCGGCGCCGGCCTCCCCGCTGCGGCAAAGGTCACGACGAAAGTCACCTTCATCATGGGCGTGGGCGTCGGGCTATTCAGCATGGTCTTCCTGGCCGCGTTGAAAGACTACCTCCCCCGACTCTTCACCTCCGACGCCGACGTCGTGCTCCTCGCCGCGAACGCCCTCCCCGTCAACGCAGCCCTACAACTCTTCGACGCCCTAGCCGCGCAAGCAAACGGCCTGCTCAGAGGTCTAGGGAAACAAGAATTCGGAGGCTACGTGAACCTCTTCGCTTACTACGTGGTACGTCCTTTGCCCCCATAGCACCGTCACCGTCACCGCACGTGAAACACCACTAACACAAGTCACAGATCGCCCTCCCCATCTCCTTCGGCCTGGGCTTCGGCCTGCACTGGGATTTGATAGGACTTTGGGCCGGTCCCGCCCTGGGACTGGCGATTGTAGCGGGTTTCGAAATGGTGTACATTTACAGGACTTCGTATGAGAAGGCTAGTGAGGAGGCGGCGAAGAGGAATGTGCTTGGTTGATACTAGTGACATCATTGGTCTTTGCTGACGACAGTTGCGTTGGGGGGTTCTGTTGCATGGCGTCTCGTTCCTTGAGCGATGGGGTTGTTTGGTGAAACGAAACGGCTGTGTGATAGGGGATTTGAGATTCATGTGGGGGGGCGTTGTAGATATTTGTGTAGATTGTGTCATTTATGAGAACTAGGGGTGGTCCAAGTCCATGGATGATATCTCGTTCTTGTTCTTCTCCTAAGGGGTTCAAAGGACAACGAACAACCGCACCGAGCTTGATCGTTGAACTCGGCTGGGTTTACGGCCTACTGAATCACGGCGATGCGTTCTCAACTCTCCACGCAAATCTCAATGACGAATCAACTTCTGACCACGCTTCACGTTACCGTCACGAAACCCTTCCAAATGAACGTGCCCGACAAACAACTCCTGTGAAGCCTGACCCTGTCACAAGTGTATCGCAGAAATTTGATATCATCCGTCCGTTCAGTGCCCAACGGTGCCAGCACATTGGTTCTGGTCATCTGTACCAACCTTGATCTGTTCATATAGATGTAGTTACAGCCATGGAGACATCCCAATACTCAATACTCCTTTGATCCCTCGACCAAACAGCCGTCAGCAGAGAAGATCTTCAACATGAAACTCACACTCCTCAGCCTGACAACCTTCCTCCTGACCGTCTCTGTCTCAGCTGTACATCCCCTCCCCATCCCATTCCCTCGCCCCGAGTTGACAAGGCAGCAGATCCCAACCCCCACCGTCTTCGAAAACCGCCAACCCCACGAAATCCACCAACACCACCATCACCACCACGGTGCGTCCGGCTCCCCCATGACGCTGGAGAAGATGAAGCGAGAGGCCACGCCCCACGAAGTTTTCGAACATCACCACCATCATCACGCGGATGGGACGGAGATGACGAGTGCGGAGATGGAGGATATGAAGGGGAAGAGGGGAGCGCACGAGGGGCATTTGGGGGAGGGGATGCAAGAGGCGAGGGAGGATGGGGATATTTATGGGACGTTGTGGTAGACGCGGGAAGGACGAGATTTTTGGGGTGATGTGTTGTATGCGGAGATTGGTCTTTCTGTAGGTTATGTCGTATGTTACGCTGTCATCTTCAGCAACATGCGTCTAGTTTGCACCAAATCCTCGTCGACTCTTTCGTCACCAAGAAAGATATGAAAGCCTGCTCGTCTCCACAGCAAGCCCAACATGCCAATTCACCCTCATCACCGATCCCTCCCCAGCCTCTCCTCCTCGTCCTCAATCAACTCATACGCCGGCTTGAACTTCCCATCCAACTTCAACGCCGGATTAGGATGCGTATCATCCGTCCCTCCCAAGCTCGTATACCCCATATCATACAACTCGCAATACTCCACGCCGACCTCTCTTATGAACGTCCAGATGTCCGCATAATGCCAATCGATTACCGGGTGGATCCGCATGAAGCTCGGCCAGCCGCCATCGGTGGGGTCGAAGTGCGTGAGGTTGGCGCCGTGGGGATCTGTTCGACGGGTGCCGACGAAGATGGCGCGGACTTGGGGGTAGTCGGCGAGGTATGAGGCGAAGGCTTCTTTCATTGGTTTGTGGTATTGGGCGAGGGAGAGGTGGTATTTGGCGGCGGAGCGGGAGACGAAGGTCGTTACGGAGGGGAAAGGGTTCGGCGTGACGATGTACACGGAGCGGAGCGTTGGAGGGAGTTTGATCGGCTGTTCGCGGGGCTGAGGCGGGTGGGAGTTGTTGGTCGTGATCGTTGATGGCGGCGTTTGATGGCCGGTGGAGTGGGTGTGGAGGGCGGCGAGGTAGAGGATCAACAGGACGAGACAATCCTTGCCGCCATTGTAGGAGAAGGAGAGCTCATCTAGACTTGAGTGCTTAGCCGTCAGTATCATGACCATCTACAGCCTCTATACTGACTCACCTGTACTTCTCCAACGCCTCCCCGATAACGTCCAACGATATCCTCGTCTGCTGCTGCACCTGCCGCACCCTCTCCGAGCCAGGCTGTCTCTCCAGCAGATCACACACCCTCTTGTGTACCCTCGCGCACTGCTCGGACAGCGACTGCGTCTCGACTACCTCATCCTTGATGTTGTGGTCGGCGTGGAGGGGAGCTGCTGCTTTGGCCGAGGCTTCCTCATCGCTGCGAGCTGCTGGCATTACCGGTGCTGAGATCCTCCGTAGGCATGTAGAGAAGGCGGGGTTAGAGGCGGGTGAGGGCGATACGGGGCATGTTCTGTGCAGGAGGCGGCCAGTAGTACGAAGGGCTGAAGTCAGCATTGATGGAGGGATCCAAGAGTTGCCGAACCCTGATGAGCAGTGGGGCAACGCCGCGATTTGGCGGGGGGATGGAAAGACGTCGAAGTTCGATTTGAACTTTGTTAATCTGGATGGGCGATTGTCTGGGTGTGTGAAGCAATTAATGCGACTGAGAAACGCGGCTTGTATTTGCTCCGTGGCAAGAGAGCTTGTGTTCTGTTTGTCGTGTTTCCGTATCACAATGTTCCACCCCTCACCCTCTGTTCAATGTATTCCCACTGCCTTTCGGGTTTGCCTCCACGTACTCATCCCAATCTCGCGCCTTCATAGTCTCCCTATCCGCCAGATCCATATCGTCCTCGTCAACCTCAGGCTTGATCCCACTCTGCGCTCCACCACCTTCGATCATGCCTCCACGTTTCCGCTCTTCCTCAAGATACTCATCAATGCTCATGGTCGGCAGGCTGTGATCAGGTCTAAAGACGCCATCGCGGAACTCCGTTCTCTTGCTGGTGAGGGTAAAAGGGCGTAACGGTTTGCCCTGGCCGTCGAGAAGCGGTCCGCGCATTCCTGCAGAGAGATGTGGCGCATCCAGGCGTTCGCTGTAGCCATTTGCGTTTCTTCCATTTCGTTCTCTTGCATCATTCGGCTGCTGTCGCTGGTCCGGTGGCGGGGATGGAGGCGCGAGGGAGAGGATGTGGAGCTCTTGGCCTATGGACTCGAAAGATGCAAAAGTCTGGTGCGTGCAATAGGCGATGTTCGTCAACTGCAACTGGCGATATGCTTCGTCGTCGTTCTGTACAATCTGCGGATTTTGTCGCATATACTCGAGCTTCTGCTTCAGCGCCTTCTCTTCCTTGAACCGTCTGATCTTTGCATCTCTTCGTGCTGCGGGATCGCTCGTTGAGGCGGTGGAGAAGGTGTTCGGCGACTCTTGGTACTGTTCGAACAGCCTGACATCCTCCTTCGACAGCAGCTCATAGTTATCCAGCTGCTTCAAATATCTCTCGAAGCTTTGCTGCGCTTTTTGAAGGTTGGCTTTCCGCTGCTCTTGGCCGTTGATTCGTAATATCAGCTCGGCGAGGCGGTAGTTGAGGAGGAGGTATTGGAGGTCGGTCGTTCCTATGTCTTCGAGGGACTCGTTTGGGCTGAATAGGGAGATCTGTTCTACGATCTTGAGGCATTCTTCGTACAGCTGGATCGCCAGCAGGAGGTTGTCTTGAAAGCTCGCCGAGTTGCTGTCGTAGCTGTTCTCGATCGTCCCTCGCTTCTGTTCGGCTTCTGAGTACACAGAACGGAGACTGCGATGTTGCTCTGCCATGCTCTCGCAGGTGACGGTTTGCGGTGTCGATGTTGGTGTTGATGTGGATGCTGGACTGCTCGAATCTGAAGCTCTGGTGATCTTTCCCTTGCGCGTGTGGCGTCGTGGCGTCAGCAGCAGCAGGCGCGTGTGATCCGCGTCCGAGGGCTCGAAAACTTTCTCCCCTTTCACATTCCATCAAAAACACATGCATTTGGACATCTTGGACTACGAGAGGTGAAGAAGATACACCAGGAAGAGAATTTATCAGCGGCGTCTTTCTCGATCCTTGTGACTATCAGACTCGACCCGACGTTACATACTCTCGTCAGCGGAAACACGGAGAGATCAGAGACATTCACGCTCGACCACGATGGCTCGCTGGCAATTCTGGAAATGTTCCTTCATTAAACCAGCATCATCATTATTTCAGGACCCGTGTTCTCCCCCATGAATTGACAGGGAGAAGGCCGGTCTTGTTACACATCAGCTCTGCACGACACCAAAATCCAGAGATACCGTCGAGAGCGTCGAACAGACACGATCTACCGTAACCGCTACGCATCGTTCTGATCATGGAGACAATTGCCGCACTTCCTCCACCCGCCGAAGCCAATTGGTAACCAGAGCCCTGAAAAGATCTGTCTCATGCTTGTCGACCGGTAACCCATGATCTGCTCGATCCAGGGCCACGAAGCTTGCACGCGGATATGACTTCAACAGTGGCCAGGAATCGCGATATCCCACCACGCTGTCTTGTCGGCCTGTCAAAATCAAGGTCGGCTTGAGGAAAGGAGCCTCTGCGCTATGCATCGTCACCGACAGCCTGTACAGGGTTGGGTCGTTCCGTATTGAACCAAGGACCGCCGCATCCGATTTCGCGACTGCAGGTAATACTTTATCCACGAGTCGGTGTTTGAATGTCTCGACATATTCCGATGTTTGGACAGGAATGTCGCCTAGCTTCTCCACCTCAGCATCCCCTAGAGAAGCCAGCAGCTTTTCGTCCTTAATGGCAGGCGTGAAAGAGTCAAGGTCTCGCTTCGAGTTCTCCGGCTCCACCAGTGGCACGCGAAGAAGAAGCCCATCGATGGAGTCCGCGTACTTGTATGCTATGGCGCGGGCGAGGTATGCGCCGCACGAACTGCCCGTCACGAGAAATCTTGATGGAAGGATGTGCTTCTCCACAAAGGTCGAAAGCCTCTCGAATATGTCGTCCAAACTTTTGATGCCGTGCGCAGGCGTCTTGCCCATTCCTGGCAAGTCGACATATACCCGACGATAGCCGTCCAGTTTGTCGAAGATTGGTTCTAGGTCGTGGGCCTCGACAGCTCCTGATATTTCCCAGCCATGTATGACGAGCACTGGCAGGCCTTGGCCTTCATACCGCACTGCTAGGTCGTGTGAGTCGGTCATGTTTTCTTCAACATATGACGAGTAGGACTGATCATCTGAACGAGAAGGTTCACAGCGTAGACGAAATCGTTCTTGAGTCGACGAAGATGCGGCTGTGCCGGGTGGATCCTAGTGTGAAAGCTGACCAATCCTCGAGCACCCCAGTAATAACACGGTTGTTGTAAAAGGGCGCGGGCATGCGAATTCATGTGAAACTTGGAACGCACGGGCAGTCAGTGAGTGAATGAGATTGTGTCAGTGCATTTGCATGTGATTTTCCACCTGTGGCGCACGCGCTGTGGCTGGTGCCGTTGCGTCTTTCAACCGCGACAAACAGCGGACTTCAAGACAACCACAAACACGCCTTGCATCTTGCATCTGCATGCAGCAACAAGCGCTGCTGTCCACCACAGCCGGCTTGTTCCTTTGCTCCACGAGCATCTCTATGTTGCTCGCTTTGCTCTTCAACTGACCGACCAGCACTCACATCGCCCACCATGGGCGCACCAGAGCAGTCGCCGCTCAAGCGCGACGTGGACGACCACCACGATGCGCCGGATTCCGAAGACGATTCACCATCTGGCGGCCCACCCACCAACTTCAATGAGAAGCGACGTGCTCAGAAGGCCATCTTCGAGGCATGGCTCACCAGTTCCGCCGGGCAGGAAGCCTTGAAGCCAAAGACCAAAGATGGCCGCATCAAAGAGGAAGCCGACGAAATGCAGTCGATCCACTCGCTTCTGGCACAACAGCAACTGGGGAGTCAAATTGTCAAGAACCCACGCGAGTACCAGATCGAGCTTTTCGAGAGGGCCAAGAAGGAAAACACCATTGCCGTGCTCGACACCGGATCTGGCAAGACCCTCATCGCCGTGCTTCTCCTTCGTTGGATCATCGACAATGAACTCGAGAGACGAGCAGCGGGCCATGATCCAAAGATCTCATTCTTTTTGGTAGCTTCGGTCACTCTTGTCTACCAGCAATTCTCTGTCCTCGACTGCAACCTCGACCACAAGGTGACACGTCTTTGTGGAGCAGATGGCGTTGACCGCTGGAATCACGCAAAGTGGTTGGAGATGTTCGCCGAGAACAAGGTCATCGTTTGTACTGCGGAAATCTTGTTCCAATGCCTATCCCACAGCTACATCTCCATGAAACAGATCAATCTGCTGATTTTCGATGAGGCACACCACACCAAGAAGAACCACAACTATGCGAGGTATGATAAGCTTTTGAGTCCAATCGTGTGGCATGCTAACAATGTTGTAGGATCATCAAAGACTTCTACTTGCACGAGCCGATGGCCGATCGACCCAGAGTCTTCGGTATGACTGCGAGCCCCATCGACGCGAAGACGGACGTCATCCAAGCGGCTTCAGAACTTGAGACTCTCCTGGATTCCAAGATCGCCACCACGAAAGACATGAGTCTGACAGAAGCAATAAAGCGACCAGAAGAGAGTGTGTTGAGGTACGGGGCATTACCCCATGCCGGCTTCGAAACGCCCCTGCTGCAGTCCTTGAAAGCCCGCTATGGACACATCACTTCATTCCAGGACCCCTTCATTCGTGCTACAGAGGTTGCACGACATCTTGGTCGTTGGTGCGCTGACCGTTTCCTCTTGGATACGTTCTCAACCGAGAGATCTAGGAAGTTCGAGGTTGAGGTCGAGAAGAGGTTCTACGCTCGGCAAGGCCAACAAAAGGTTGCAGAGCTGGACGCTGCTGTCCAGGAGATTCGTGACGCGATCGAGTATGTCCAACAGCAAAGCTCGGCCGTAAGTTCCAAGTTGAAGCCTCGCGACCTCAGCTCGAAGGTCTTGGAGCTTCAAAAGTATCTGTGGATGCAGTTCGAGAGGAAGTCGAATCACCGCTGCATTATCTTTGTTGATCGCCGGCACACCGCACGTCTCCTACACGCCCTGTTCCAGAGAACTCGGACACAGCACATGCACTCCCATTTCCTAGTCGGCTCTGCCAAGGGCAATGTGGACGAGGACAACTTCACGTTCAGATCGCAGGTCATGACATTGCTCAAGTTCAGGAAAGGCGAGTTGAACTGTCTCTTCGCCACATCCGTCGCCGAGGAAGGCCTCGATGTTCCGGATTGCAATCTCGTTGTCCGCTTTGACATGTACAAGACCATGATCCAGTATGTGCAGAGCAGAGGCAGAGCCAGAAACCAGAACTCCAAGTTCATCCACATGGTGGAGAACAGCAACTCAATACATGAACAGACCCTTGGCGAGGTTCGCTATCAAGAATCGAGCATGAGGGCATTCTGTGACTTACTGCCAAACGATCGCAAGCTCGAAGGCAACGAAGACGGTCTCGAGCTGCTCATGGAGAAAGAGAAGAACCTACAAACGTATACTGAGCCTTCGACTTCCGCCAAGCTAACATACGGCAACGCATTGGGTATACTCGCCAACTTTGTCTCGGCCATTCCGACAGACACTGACGAGCCACAACATCCAACATATGTGGTGTCTCCTCGAGGGTCAAAATTCGTCGCTGAAGTCGTTCTACCTCCGAACTCTCCACTTCGGTCTTCACTCTCGAAGCTGCACACCAAGAAGATGCTCGCAAAGCGGTCGGCGGCATTCGAAGCGTGCATTGAACTCCGGAGAAAGAAGTACCTCAACGAACACTTTATGCCAATATATCAGAAGAAGCTACCAGCGATGCGCAATGCTTTGCTGGCGGTGGATTCGAAGAAGAAGAACGAATATACAATGCTCATCAAGCCGAGCATTTGGCAAGAGCAGAGAGGAACGTTGCCATCAGAACTCTTCGTCACCATCGTCGACTTTCCACTGGGATTGGAGACGCCACACCAATCTCTGGCACTTCTGACGAGAACTCCGATGCCGCAGTTCCCGTCCTTCCAAGTCCACCTTAATGATGGTCGTGCCTCCAGCGTGGTCTCAGCGGGACTTCACAAGTCACTACCCCTTGACGACAGAATTTTGGCAAAGTTGACGCGCTTTACCTTGAAAGTGTTCGAGGACGTCTTCAGCAAGACGTATGAGGAGGATGCTTCAAAGCTGTCGTACTGGATCGCACCTCTGAAATGCTCCCTGCCGGCCGATGGTGAAGTGGACGAGACAATCGGCGACCTTGATCCCCTCGCGGCCATCGATTGGCCACTGCTCGACGAAGTCTTCACGCACGGCAGCTACAGCTGGACACCTGATATGGAGGACAGCTTTCTGGCAGATCGGTTCCTTGTCGACGTCTGGGACGGCAGTCGGAAATTCTATACGAAGCAAGTAGACACGACTCGCAAGGCGACAGACCCCATCCCCGAAGGTGTGGCGAAGTCCAAGTTCACCGGCACGATCTTGGACTACAGTGTCAGTCTGTGGAAGAAGGCGCGCAAGGAGCGTGAAGCATTCTGGTCTCGCACGCAACCCGTTGTGGAGGCCGAGAAAGTCCTCCAACGTCGAAACGTGCTGGCTCCCGCAGAGCAGAAAGAGCTCAACCAGGCCACTAAAGCCTATTTGTGCCCTCAGCCATTGCGCATATCTGTCCTGCCGACCAAGGTTGCCACGTCGTGCTTCATCTGGCCTGCTATCATCCATCGATTCGAGTCGTATCTCATCAGCATTGAGGGGGCCACTTCGATCGGTGTTCAGTGTGGACCAAACTTTGCTCTGGCAGCATTCACCAAGGACTCCGACAACCAAGGTGACTACGACTCAGACGAGAAAGTCAACTTCCAGCGTGGAATGGGAGAGAACTACGAGCGTCTGGAGTTCATCGGCGACACCTTCCTCAAGACCGCCACCACATTGTCGACCTTCATCATGAATCCGAACGAGAACGAATTCGAGTTTCATGTGAGACGAATGCAGATGCTGTGCAATAAGAACCTCTTCGAGACTGCCTTGGAGTTGAAGCTCTTCGAATACATTCGCAGCATGTCTTTTAACCGTCGATATTGGTACCCTGAGGGTTTGAAGCTCCTGATTGGTACCGGTGTTGTCAAGGGCCAGGAGAAGGAGATGTACCATGAGGCCAGAGAGCACGCACTCGGCGAGAAGACGATTGCTGACGTCTGCGAAGCCCTCATCGGAGCTGCATTCCTCTCCAATGACAAGCCTGGCGCCTGGGAGCCCAGCCACTGGGAGAATGCTGTCAAGACAGTCACTACGCTTGTCAGCAGCGATGACCACAAGATGCTCACATGGGAGGATTACAAGAAGGCCTACGAAAAGCCAGCCTACCAAACGGCAGACGTCACGGCAGTGCAGAGAGACCTGACAGAGAAGGTCGAGCGCGAGCACCCTTATCACTTCACATACCCTCGATTGCTCTACTCTGCTTTTGTGCATCCTTCGATGCCGTTCACCTACGAAAAGGTTCCCAACTACCAGCGCCTGGAGTTCTTGGGAGACGCCCTCCTCGACATGGCATCGATCACCTACCTCTTCTACAAGTATCCCGACAAGGACCCGCAATGGCTGACCGAACACAAAATGGCCATGGTTTCCAACAAATTCCTGGGAGCTCTCTGCGTCAACATCGGCTTCCACAAGCACCTCCGTCACCACCACGCCAAACTCGAGCACCAAATCCGCGACTACGCCACCGAACTCATCGAAGCGAAGCGAGTCGCCGGCTCGAGCGTCGACTACTGGACGACCGTCTCCGACCCACCGAAATGCCTACCCGATATCGTCGAAGCATTCGTCGGCGCCATGTTCATCGACAGCGACTTCGACTACCGCGTCGTACAGAATTTCTTCGACACGCACGTCAAGGACTACTTCCTCGACATGGCCATGTACGACACGTACGCCAACAACCATCCCTGCACGCATCTGCATAACATGCTCCAGACGACGTTCGGGTGTATGGATTACCGCCTCATGGCGAAGGAGTTGCCGAGCGTGGATGGGGTTACGGAGAGGAAGGATGTCGTTGCGGTGGTGATGGTGCACGATCGGGTCATCGCGCATAGCAAGGGGAAGAGTGGGCGGTATGCGCGGTTGAGAGCGGCGAATGGTGCGCTGGAGGTGTTGGATGGGTTGGCGCCTTTTGAGTTCCGGGCGAGGCTTGGGTGTGGTTGTCATCAAGAGGAGGAGGAGGGCGAGGAGGGAAAGAAGGAGTTTGAGTGTGGAGTGGGAGTGGATTGTGCTGTCTAGAGCATTGTCGGGCACGTCTCGCGTCGACCTTGGGATGGGCAATGGCAATGCGAAGACTCGCATGCATGCATTGATGAAGAACACGAGCTCCGTTAGAAATAGAGTGAGGTAGAGATAAGACACAGAAAGAAACTCAAGGCTCATGATCGACGACCCATGGAACGGATCCCTCCGCCCCAGTGCCGTCTTTCACGGACCACGGAGATGTTTGGAAATGTCTCAGTCGAGGTTGACCGGGGTTGGATCCTGTCTTTCACAAGCATCCTTGCATAGAGTTTGGGATGTTTCATACCGCATATGCTCGGGCGACGAGGCGACGCTGTGGAGTTGTTGCTTTCGTGACGGGAGTAAGCACTTGGACTTTGTGGCACTCTGCGACAGACGAGTGTGCAGGTTGTGATGAGGGTCATCGTGCGGCAACGAGGGGAGGTAAAGTGGAATATGAGGCGTGCTAGTCGCATGGCTGGTAAGGTAAGTGAGTGTGAGTGTGAGTATGTGATCTATTTGACTTTTCGGGTTCAATTTGGAAAGTAGGTAGGACGTTTTCCGCCAGGTGCGGCATCGTGGATTTGAGGTAAGTGATTTATTTGACTTTGGAAATTGATACGGAGCTTAGCACCGAAGATGTCGTCGTCTGGTTTGACCTACTTACTACTCTACTCTTCTTGTAGGTGAAGATGATGGTGACTGCCTGCGCTTCTGCAGACAGGGCGAATGGGGCTCGTCGAAGGCAGTGTGCAAAAGTACTCGCGCTGCTGTGTTGTGCTAATCACCCACCGCGCATTCAGCATCGACTGCTGCTTGGGTTCAGCTCAAGTCCGAGGGCGGTGTCGAGGAGGTGAAGTTGCTCTGGCAATGCGAAATCCCTCGACTCTTATCCTCATGTGGCGTATACCGGCGTCCGTTGATGAGGAGGATCTTGCTGTTGAAACTGCCCGATCTCAACCTGCGCCTCGCAAGGGCAGACGAATGAAGACGCCAAAAAGCAAAGCAATCGAAGACGAACGAGAGCTGAAAGCACAGTGTAGGTTTGTAGGTTTGTAGCTTGTGAAGGTGCCATCACGAAAAGAAGAAACGCAGAGTTGGTGTTTCACAAACCCGTAGCTGCAGCTTTGGTGGGATACTTTGTGCATGCAGCGATCGACGTGCTTTTTGAAGTCCTCTGCAGCTGCGGTGGTGGCGCTCGAGCAGCAGTTGTTGGCATGTCTCAACATCCCTGGAAGCCGCTGGAGTTTGAGGTGTGACGTCTGTCTGGGGTTCTGGAGGATCAACAATAGGAGGAATCAGGAATCAGGACCCCTTGGACGTGCCTGTCGCTCACCATCTATGAATAACGTCAGGCATCAGGATAATTTCCTGACGATAGCAGTGTCGGTGTATATTGCTTGTCGGAACAGGAGTTACTGTCTGCCGGCGGGGTGTGTTGTAGTGCCTTGCAGCAGAGGTACATGTCGTGGGAGCTGAAGATTGAGGCTGCATACGGGGAGGCGTCCGACGAGTGGGATGCATTGCTTTAAGTTGGAGAGGGATGGGGAGAGCCGACGGACCAGCAACTGTCGCCGTTGTCAGACGCGCAACGGTCTGCTGCTTCATCATCCGCGCCGCAATATTAAGGATCACCCAGGATTGTTCAGGCGAAGTTGTGAACTTAGCAGCGTAGAGGTAGAAGCGACCATTGGCTGGATGCAGCGGTGATGGTTTAGTGACAGGTCGCACAGCATCTCCAGGCGCAGGTGCAGCCAAGACGGCAAAAAGATGGCAGTTGGGGAGGTGTTGGTGAGTGAATGCTTGATGGTCGCGTATGTGGCTTTTCCCAAGCCCAAGGCCAGGGGAGGAAGGGCGGATGTGGTCTCGCCTCGCAGCGAATTTGGAGGATCGAGCAGTGTGCTTATCTTCTTCCAATGGCAGGCCAGCCCCATCTGCTCCGCGTCAATGCCACGCATAATCCCTATGATTTCGTGTATGCACGGCGGCACCGTCTGCTCGCGCTGCCTGTGATGGGGAAGAGTTGTAGGTGGGAGATTTTTCTGAGTGAGAGGCTCACTTTGGAGCTCAACAGCCGCCTCCACGAATTTCCCGGATCTCGACAGTCGCACCAGCAGCGTAGGCTGTGCGACTGGTATAGAGCAGAATAAGAAATCGCTGAGTCGCTCGCGTGCCTTTGCCCAGCACCGCGCCCAAGGTTGACACCACCACCCGTTCGGCTGCAGATGACAGTCAGCACTAGCTCGCCGGCACCCTGGGAAAGCTAGCAGCATCTCGCGTGCCTTCGATATGGGTTCAAGTAGCAGGTAAGTAAGGGGACTGGCCCGCCGTCGTCTGCGACTGATGCTACCGCCGCCGCCGCCGTCGCTCCCTCTGCCTCTGCCTCTCCATGTCCCTCCACCACCACACCAACGGGCACGGCGCGGCCAGAGGCAGGAGCCCGCTTGCTAACGACCACCCCTACAGGAGCCTCAAGGATGCCACCAAGGCCCTCCAGTCCCACTTCACCGGCTCCAAGATCCCCCTCTCCCTCCCCTCCGAGAGCCGCCGCATGCTGCAGGCCTTCATCGACGAGCACGACGGGAGCATAGACTATGACGAAGCCGCCAAAGCGAATCAAGAGCTGAAGCATTTCTGGGATAGACATGTCGGCACAAGCAGTCAGAAGCTGGGTGCCTTTGTGGGGGTCTTGAAAGAGCTGCGTCCGGCAATCGTCGACGATGAGGATCTGTTGGAGTGGTATCATCTCGCTGGGAAGCCAGTCATATGTGCAGCAGCGTACAAGAAGGCCGCCCTGGAAGACGCTCACGAATTTGTGACGAGTGTACTGGTTTACGATGAGGACGATGACAACGCCAAACAACGACAGAGGAATTCAGTACGGATATGCAACGATTTGCTCGGCATCTACATTGCGCGGACTCGAGGGATTGGTGAGCACGATGAGTTTGTGGCACCAGACAATGCGCAGATTGCGAAGCAGGTTGAGGGCGTGCTTGTGGCATACGGCAAGAAGATGCCCAAACATCTCTTCAACAGTCTCGATGACCTGATCGTTCGAGAGGACACTCGGTTGCAGGGGCTTACTCTGCTCAGCACTTTTCTCCAACATCAAGCGCCTCACCTTTACCTGGCTGACCAAACGCCCCTCGTCGACAACCTGCTGAAATGCCTCATGAACGATACCTCGACAACCATCCTGTCAGTGGCGCTCAAGTCGCTGATCATGCTGTTGCCTCACATCCCGCACACGCCCGGCTCTCGCTTACCCCGGCTCTTCCTTATCTACAGCAGGCTCCTTTGCTGGGAGAAGTTCAGCCCCCTCAGCACTGAAGCTCAAAAGAACCTTGTCACAGACGATCGAATCAGCGCTGATGATGATGGCGACTTTGGCGATGTTGGGATCGATCCCACGTGGGAGAAGTCCCGGCCAAAGGATGGTGTCGTGGAACCTGCGACGCCCGAAATCATGACCTACTTTACGTACCTTTACGGCCTGTATCCGTTGAACTTCATGAGCTACATACGAAAGCCTAGACGATTCTTGAAAAGCGTTGACTTTCCTGGAGCGGACGACTTCGATCTCGACCAAGCCGTGATTCGAAGCAGGAGCGACCAGTTCCGGCAGGTGCATCTTCTTCACCCCAACTTCTACAACTTGACCGTCGAGGAAGAGTTGAGCGATCCCAAATGGCCCAAGATGGACCCAGCAGACGTGGTAGCCGAGTGCCATGGCTTGGCTATGAATACCAAGCCAGCACTTCTCAGTCCAGGACCGCCGCCAACAAGCCGACTTCCAGATTTACCTCCTCTTCCACCTATCCCTTCAAACAACGGCTCGGTCTCACCTGCAATCAGCCATACCAGCTTCCGCTCTGGTCACAGCTGGCGCGATACTCAATCAACAGCGGTGGGAGGCTTTGACGCAGAAAGTCCAGTGCTCGGACCTGTCGAGGATAAGCAAGAACAAGTACGACCGAGCACCGCCCCGGGCCGATCTGCCATGTCACCAATGCTCGACGACTTCCCCATGCCCGCTGGTCCTTACTTCTCGACGCCAAGTGCCAAAGACCTTAAAGAGCCGCAGAACAATATGGAGTTCCTGCAGCAGAAGGTCACAGCCCTGCAGAATGATCTCAGCTTTGAACGATGGCACAAAGCTCAATACTCGCAGCATATCGGGCAGTTGATGAGGAAGAACGTCAAGGATGCTACCGTCGAGGCCGAAACACTGAACCTCATCAATGCCAATCGCGCTTTGAAGCAGCAACTGGAACAAGTTCGCAGTGCCAGAGAAGCCACCATCAAGGACTCCAACCTCACCCGGAAACAAGCCAGCAATTTGGAAACCAACATGACCGAGCGCTTCAACAAGATGAAGAAAGAGCAGGAGACGTGGGCTGCTGATGCCGACGAGCTGAAACGATTGCGAGCGGAGATGAAGCATTACCGTGATCTTCTATCTACCGCAGAAGCTCGCGAGTTAAACAAGTCACACGAAGTGGAGATGATGAAGCGGGACATGGAGCAGCTGCAGAAGTTGCAAGCCAGACTAAAGGAAGCACAGACGAGACTCAGGGAGTACGAATATCGCGAGTTCGACTTCGAGCAGGCGAAGCGAGAGCAAGAACTCCTGCAGAGTGAGAAGGAGACATTGCTCATGCGACTCCAACGCCAGGAACAGGATCGAGATAGGACTAAGAAGATGTTCACAGACAGGATAGCAGAGCTTGAGGCTCAACGTGAGCTGACGACACCGCACGACCGTCGACCGCCCACGACCCTCTCCATGGACAACCACACCACGCATCAGGCTCTGCTGGACAGTCAAGCGAAATTGGCTCAGTTGAAGAAGGCTCACTCCCGACTGCTCGAGCGCTTCACAGACTTGCAGATGGAGTATCAGTCTTGCAAGAACCAGCTTGAATCGCTGCGGGGGTACGGAGGAGACGCAAGCCGCAACAGTAGCGTTGGTGGATACAGCGACAGGACGCCAGATGCCATGAGCGGCGGGCTCGGGTATAGGGGAGGTGTGATCGAAAGCGTCTACGACGTCGCCAGCGAGTATGGCGCGCCATCTGAGAGCAACTTCACCAGCGTCAGCCAGAGCGATCCCACATCGAGACGGTTTCAAGACCGCAACAATCTCCCTGTCTCGCCCATCTCGCCGCCGAGGAGCGAAGCTACCTTCAACAGTTCGGCGGGATTGACGTGGAAGCCTCCGTCCACTGTGCACAGCGGGAGGTCGTACAACTCTAGCGTCACACCTTCTGGGTACAACCCCACCGCACCACTTTCTACTGATGAGAGGAGCGTGGTGAGCGGGCAAAGCGGCGGCAGTGGTGGCGACAAGTCTGGCAAGCCGAAGATTGCTGTGAACAGTGAGGTTCGGGTGTTCGGTAGAGGTAAGTCTTGCTCGAGTTCGCAGTAACGCGGATCTGGGGCTAACAGTCTACAGGTGGAGCACAGAACATCAAGATGAAACCGAAGGACAAGGAGAGAGAGCAAGCCAAACCTGAGCCCAAGAAAGGGGGTCTGAAAGGGTTGAAGGGCTTTGCAGGATTGTAATGGGCATGGAAAAATGGAATTACCGAACGTGAAAAGCGGGAGCTGGGAATAAAATGGATTGGCATTTGGAGCTTGGGCTATTTAGGACGCTAGATGTTGGACGACGTTCTTGATACCCTTGTACAGAGACGGTTGGATGTTGGCTGTCCACGTCTTTGAGAATGAGAAACGATTGCTGAGGTCTGGCAGAGCTTCATGTGTTCCACCGCGCAGTTCCGCCGTTGTCCATCTACGACACATCCTCAGCCTGACCACGCAAATCGACTTTTCCTGGATACCGTCGCATCTCCTCCCCTCCCGCCTGGCCCCTCGCCGACAAAACCAACCTCCCTGCGCAAAGCGCTCACCTCCACCTCCCGCCCATCACCCCCACGCCCACCGAAGCATCAAGCGCCTCCCCCAAAGTGCACGGCTCCTTCCACGCCGCGATATACCGCGCATGCCTCCCCCCGTTCCATCTCACACCAATCTCACTGCGTCCCGGCGTCATGCGCACACCGAAATACATTCCGCGCCAAGACCCCGTAGCGGGCTCCGCCGCCGACGGCGTCTTGTTTCCGAAGTGGAACACGACGTCGCCGCTTGCCGCGTGCTCGGCGAGGCAGAAGTTGTAGGCTTCTGGGGTGGAGATCTTGCTCCAGAGGATGTTGGTGTAGATGGTGGTGGTGTTGTGGGCGGGGGGTCTGAGGGAGAGGGCGGTTTGGAGATGGGGGGAGGTCGCGATGGTTGCGCTGAAGGTTGAGTTGATGGATCGCCTGCGGAGGGTGCGGAAATCGAGGGAGAGGAGGATGGTTTCGAGGAGTTCGGTTGTGTTGAAGACTTTGTCCGCCGCCGTGGGTGTCATGATGCTGTTGTTGACTTCGTTGGTTGCGTCAGACGCCATTTCGATGTTGGTGGTGGGTGGTTGAGTGTGTGGTGAAGTGTTGAATGTGTAGTCAGTAGTCAGTAGTCAGGTGGGCCTTGAACGAGGACGAAGCTAAGAGCACAAACGGAAGTTGACTTTGAATTCGACGCTAGCGCTCCTAAGGAAGGAGCGATTCTTGGCGTTCATGTGAAAGTCTCGCCAATCCGCTCAAAATGCCAACGTTCCTCCCCAGTTGTTTGCGATGTGTCGAATGAACATGATCTTCGATGAAAGGTTTGATGGCTTCAGAAATTGGAGAATGTCGATCGTTCCAGGTGTGTAGACCTCATCAGTCTCACACTTCGTCCCGGTCTGCTCGACATGCAAAGAGAGCTCTTCTGTCAAACGGGCTGTTGGCACACGCCTGCAAACTCCTTGCACGGTCGTTATAGAGCAGTTGATGGGAAGTTCTTCTTGCGCCTTCAAATACCTCGTCAATGACTAGCAAGCGCAGAAAATCGTGTACACCGTTTGGCTCCGGAGCCTATGGCCTATGTCCCCTGCTTAATTACCTGCATGGTAACAATTGCGAAGTATACCTAAGCCACAAAGATTGTGGACAACGTATTCGCTCGATATTCGTGCCACTAGAGGAGAGCTGTTGAGTTGGGTTTGGTAGGAATACTCCAGCCTCGAAACTCGATTTATCGATTTTCAGGCTTCTGCTCTGATGTAGTAGCCTTCTCAGTTTGGCAGTACTTGCCGCCGAAATCAACTACGCGACCTAGCTGCACGCTGAAAGTCCAGATTGCCATCAAGTGAGTGTATCTGTTCATCGCAAGTGATCGCCAGTCCTTGCTCACGGCAGACTCAAAAACAGCTCGAGCATCCTCGGATAATCCGGAGTCCCCAGTCCCGTAACCGGATCCCAACCAGGCACAGCCTTGAAACCCGAGCTACCACACCCAGCATTCGTTCCATTCACAATGTTGTTCAGAACCCAGGGATGAGCATACAGAACCGGGTTGAGGAAGCCAATGGGACCCTTGCCAGCAATCGTACGCTGCTGATTCAAAAGCGTAATGACGGAAGCCCACAGTGGTGATGAAAGAGAGGTACCCGAGTAGCGATAGACGGTTCCGTTAACAGGGGTTGGTAGGAAAGCGCCGTTTGCCGAGACGTTGGGGAAGCCTCGTCCGGCACGGTTGTAGATGCCGACGTTAGCTCCTATGTTGCTGGCGTCGGAATTGGCAATATAGTACGGATGGCCAGGATCATGCTGGCGGAAGTAGTTCTTTTTCGCGGACTTCTGCCAGGAGGGTGTCGTGTAGTAGTTGGAGAACCCACCACCGCTGCCGACGAAGGCACTTGCAATGTCCAGCTGGAGTTCCATGGGGCTTTCGCGGTCGAGGATCGTTTGGCCTGGGTAGAGTCGGGTGCCGCCGACTGAGGTGATCCATGGGCAGCCGGACAGATAATCAGGGTTGTAGATTGTTTGATTCTGTCCGTTGCCGGATAGGCATCCGCTGGGTGTTATGTCGCCTGGGTAGCTGGCGACACCATAGTCCCCGCTAGCTGCTAGGATTGTATGACCCTGCAAGCCCAGTTTCATAAACTCGTTGCACTGTCGTTGGGCATAGACCTTCTGAAAGTCTTGTTCTGCCTCTCCATACGAGATGCAAATTACTCGGGTTGGCTTGTAGACGCCGCACTGCAACTGGCCCTTGCAGCCTCCGTCTGCCGGGTCTGGATAGGTTGGGTCATAATCAGGACTGTTACCTGTAATACCGTATGCAGTGTAGTTGCAGTACGAGCCGTCTAGAGCATCGAGGAAGGTGTTGAAGGTGTTTGCTTTCTCGACTTCGGCCACGGCGTAGTTCTCGTCGTCAACTTGGTAGACAATCACGCTTTGAGGGTAGACCAAGGACAAGACAATGTCTATGTCGATATCGGACTCTCCTACAGAAAGACATCAGTATAGCTTCGCCACCGCTCCTTTCAACGATGTAAGGGAAAATAATTACGAGCACAAGTCGAGTTCTGCACCTTAAACTGTAGTCGTTGAGAAGAACTCACCGTTATTATTAAGGTCAGAGGCTGGCACGGGCGCTTGGCCACCATCAATGCCGAGCACGACAGGAGCAGTAGATGGTGGTACGTTCGGTGCCGACATAGCAAGAAACTGGCTCACGTCTGACTGAGAGAAGTAGTCGCCTTGTTCGTAGAGGCCAGGTGAGTTGACAGAGTCGTTGATGTGCCCAACAGGAAGTCGGTAGAGGGCGCGGTAGCAAGCAGGAGTGATGTTGACGCCGCAATTCCGCACCTAGATCGGACGTCGGAGTGTTCTCAACATTGGTGTAGCGGCAAAATCACCGCCTAGACGTTCTATGATGATTCTGTTCGCGGCCAACGCACGCACCACCCGGACTAGTATCGCAAATGATTAGTTGAGTAGTTAGCAATAAATTTGGAAGGAAGACACACCAACAATGTGAGGGTCTGCACCGGCTTTGTGGATGATCAACTCTTCCATGCTGACTCCACGGTCTGGGATTAGATTAAAAAGGTCCAGGTCGATAGCAATACGTATGCTCATAGTGAGAGTCGATTGCAGCCCGAGCTGACGGATTCGTGTGGTGGTCGGGATCAGATCGTCTTTCAGATTGTCAAGAATTTGAACGAGGTCACTGCGCCGCTCTGAAATGATCTTCTTGTTGTGTGGAGTGCACTCGTGACACCGCACAAGGGTATTGATCGCCTCGTTCATGTCGACCTGAAGTGCACGAAGTGTTGAGAGAGACATAATGGAATAGAGATGAAAGACACGACTGCATTGCGCCAAATCCTAATTCACACGAGGTTGTAGTGTACTTATATCTTGCAAGGATTAGCTGATCGAAGGTAGTTCGAGGCCGATTAGAGGACGCTGTCCCAAATTTACAGCTCTAGACTCTCCTCCGTAACATCACCACAGACTGCAGAAGCGAGCGCCAACAGGTCGCGCTGTCGAAAGCCCCTAGCGCTCTCCGAGTGAGGCTGAATGCTCGCTGTGGTCTATGAGGGCACGCCCTGAGTCGTCATCCTGCCTCCTAGAGCCGAATCCTTTCGGCCCCCTACCACTGGTCTCTTTGTCTTTCGTGCTGGTGTTGACCATCCACGATGTGCATCTATGCAATTGGATATATAATACACGCTCGAAGCTGGATCACTGGAGGTTGTCGCATATCACGCAGTCTTCTAGACCACTGTCTCAAAAATTTGCTTTTCAGCCACGCAATCAAAAGTTTCGAGAATCTTTCAACAGCCACTATGGGCCAATACACCACTTTATCCAAGGGGTCGACCATGCTGATCACGGGAGTCAATGGCCTTGTTGGATCGCACTGCGCCGATCAGGCTCTTCAGCACGGCTACAAAGTACGAGGAACGACTCGCTCCTTGGACAAGAACAAATGGCTCCTCGAAGTATTTGGCAACAAGTACGGCACCGCTGTGTTCGAGCTTGTCGAAGTCAAAGACATGCAGCAGCCCGGAGCTTTTGACGAGGCCATGCAAGGATGCTCAGCTGTAATGCACACGGCGTCTGTAATGTAAGGGAGAGCCTGGGAAGACGTGACATCGGTCGCTTGAGCTAATGACCGAAAGCACCTTTGAACCAGATCCGGACAAGGTCATCCACCCGACCCTGAAAGGTGTCAGAGAAATCCTGCGGGCCGCCTCAAAGACACCAAGCGTCCGACGTGTCGTCTATACATCATCTCAAGCGGCTCTTTGTACGACTACGGAGAAAGTACTCACTGTTACGCAGAACACTTGGAACGACACGGCGGTGACACTAGTAACCGATCCAGCACAATTTGCCGCTGTACCCGACAATGCCAAAGGACTAATAACATACTGCGCCAGCAAAGTTCTCGCAGAGAAAGCATGCTGGGAATTTGTACGACAGGAGAAACGGCACTTCACACTGAACTCTGTCGTTCCCAATTTCAACACAGGCCCCTCGATCTATCCGACGCAGCCTGCTTCGTCCAGCGGCTACGTTAAGGCTGCTTTCCTCGGGGATGAAAAAGCTCTCGGGCTTCTAAACATGCTTGGACCTATGAATTATATCGATGTTCGTGATGATGGACGACTTCACCTTGCCGCTGCCGTTTTCGATGACGTGCACGACGAGAGGATTTGGGGAATGGCTGGCGACTGGAATGTGCATGATATGATGGAAGTCTTCGAGGAGGTTGATTCGAACTGGAAGGATGTCAAGCGACCCGAGGGAAACGCTAGGGATCAGACGATATACGATCGATCGAGGAGTGTAGAGTTGTTGAAGAGGCTGGGATGCGACGGTTTCACGAGCTTTGAGCAGAGTGTCAGAGCGAATCTTTCTGGTATGTCTGTGTGATGCATTGAGATCCCGCACGAGAAAGAGAATACTGACTCCCGTTTGAAGAAGAATCCTCGGCTGTTGTGAAAATGCTGTAGTCAGGGGTTTGCCAGTGCCCATTGACCTTGGTGCCGCTTTCCACCGACATAATCGCACATACTCAATCATATACATTGATACTGATGGCTTGAGGCCGCCTCATTTGGCCCCTCTGAGAAACCGGTGGACTTAAAGTGAGGAGATTCAAAAGGACTTGGGGGCCGACCTCAATTACGATACCGACCTCAGCTACGACGAATGTGGCAGTCTTCCCGTCTTGCCCTATGTCTCCAAAACTTCATTCAGCTGATGACGCATCCGGCATAGCGTCCAAAAGGTGGAAGGATTGGCCCTATGCCACTATAGCTTCATTCAGCTCGTGTATACAGCCCAGAGGATTTTCATGGTGTAGGCAAAAATTATGCTGATCGAGATGCAAATCAGGTTAGCCAACAACGACTCATCATGGCGACATGAATGCGCCTGCTGTTGGAATCAATTAAAAGGCGCGAAGCAGCCTCATTGCCGTTCAAAACTCCTACGGGGACAGGCCGCCTGCATCTACACTGCTCGGAACACGATTCCTTCAACGAGCGTGACATTACCGCACCGTACGCCCTTCATGCCACACTCGAATTTACATTCCTACTGGAAAATTTTCCAGGCACAAGCAATACTGTTAAAGAAGCATCGAACAATGTCCTGGACGAAGTGTAACATCCTCAAGAGCATCGAGCAATTTGACAAGATCATAAGTATTGCCGTGGAGGTGGTTGAAGAGAAAGGGCATGGAACTGCATAAGTATGGATAAGGACTCGCGCCACTGGCTAAACGAGCTGGTACAGGCTACGCGATTGCAGGGAAAGCTTCCACAAAAAGTGATGATCGGTAATATTAGCGCAGCATTGACCGGGTTGGGGACAGATACGCGAATTGATGGAAGAACAATCGCCATCGTTGTGAACAGGCAAGGTTGCGCCGCCGATCATTTGCTAAAAATGGCTAAAGCCCCTTTGATCCTTAGCGCCCTGGCTGCCAAGGCTCGATGCTGATTGACGTCGACCGTACATGTGCTTTGCACTGCGCTCCGCCTGTAACAAAAGAGTAACACCAGTGCCAGTTCACGGTCCTTTCAGATCATTACACTGCTGGGACAACATGGCTATCCTTCTCGCCCACTCCGCATTGCATATTTCTGTTCCACCGACCACCACCACGGCCGGAGAAGACTTCCTAAATGCGACAACGGATCACATCGAATCCCTTGTCCACAATCTCATCCACAGTGTCAACACTCATACACTCTCCACCGACTCCCCGATCTGGCCGTTCATGTCGCCATCATTCTACACTCGCGGCACCGCCTGTCCCAGCACCGCAAGCCGCCTTGAAACCATGTATACCTTCCAAGGCTACTGGGCCGAGCATCCGGACTATTTCCTCCACACAGAGAGCATGTACACAGTGCTCAATTCTAAGATGAATACGGCGACCGTCTTTGTCAATGTTGAGATTGGTGGCGGGCCGGCAATGGAGGAAGGGCTTAGTCGACAGGCGGTAAGCATTTACGAGGCTGCGAAGAGCAAGGACGGATCGTGGAGTCTCAATGGAGTGACTACTACGCCCGGGGGTTGGTAGACGGCTGTGCTCCAGACAATTCCGCCTCAAGGAGCCCGTTGCAGGCTCATCTGTGGTAAGGAACTTGTCGCCGTGGAAGTGGGACGTCATCTTGGTGGACGTGATGGAGAGGTGGAAGGTGTAGCCTTCGGGCGGAGTCATGAAATTGTTGAATGAGCTGAAGATGCGATGTGCGGTTGGCAGTTCGGGCTCTTTTTTGAAGAAGGCGGATTTGCTGGCGACTGTGTGAGCGAGCTATAGAGGCGCGGAAGCATCTGTTAACGAGTTGAGCGCGAACGACCGTGGCGGTATCGTCGACGATGAGGAGAATGGCATCAATCATTTCGGTAGTCTTGAAGGCTTTGCTTGTTGATCGGAGTGCCATGACGGCAGGATTAAGGGTGTGGCTCTTGGGTGTTCGGATTTGGTGGTTAAAGAGGATGAAAAGGACGAGCGGGGTTTATGAAGGAGGGAATGTAAAATTGAAGCGGGCGTCACAGACGACTTTCTTCGCATTCTTGTGAAAGGGTGCCCTGCTTCACTCTGCCTACGCTATCCAGTCCCTCAAAGTGGGATTCACGATCTCATTGCCAATCAGCGATCCAACCGAACTCTTCCTGCACTCGTTAGCATGGTCGCTCTGAGTCTTTCCGAGAGAACATGTCTTGTACCTCTCATGCGATCCGTGTGGCAGGAGTCAAGCACCGATTGCTTCCGGCGCTTCGTTCCAAATGCTCACCTTGTAATGGATCATCTAACAGCACAAAGTGGTTGCTGGTCACGCCATTTCCATCATCACCAGCTGTGATACTTCTTCCAGCCGCCGGTTCGGTGTTTCTTGCTGCCAATCCAAATTACTGTAGGCTTTCAGTTGGACGTCAAAGCCAGCAACATGCTTCTTCATATGTACATGAATCGCACCACTGCGGTCGCTTTCAAACCTCTGGCAAGCGAAACGGAGTCAACGGATCGATGAATGAGAAGTCTCGATCAAATCTCATAATCCTTTCATACCATCATACGTCTCATCGAAGCCGCAATATACACATCTCTAGCAGACGGGTATCTCGCAAATGACAGTCACCTCCCATCCACCCATCCCACTCTCGATCGAGATCTACTGCTGACTCTTCGCGTACCCAGGGAACTGCGTCAACTGCTCATCGTCAATACCCTGCAACTGTGGACAAGCCAGCTTGCTCGTAATGTCGCCAATGCTGTTCGTCAACTGCGTGATCGCTCCGAGAAGCACATCCGGCTTAGCCTGCGCGGCGGCCTGGAAAGCGAGACAGGCGAACTTGTTGCCTTGAGTGAGATCGCCTGCGTTGAGAACGCCACCTGTGAGGTTGGAGATATCGACTCCGGTGAAGGAGTTGGTCGTGCCGGTGTTGCTATACGGGACGCATCGGTCAGCGGAAGGACTATATCAAGGAAACAGGCGAAGCTCTCACCCCCCAACATCGAGAAACTTAGGATGCAATGCTGCTGCGTTAATTACATCTCCAAAGAAGTAAAAGTTATCGTAAGGGTATTCAAGCGCACGGCGATACCTAGAAGACGGTCAGAGTCATTGTCGTTGATTTTGTCAGGCTCGGACGAGGCTGCGACGTACCAATTCTCCGGAATCTTCTCCTGGCCCTGATTGGCGGTCCAAGCACCGGGCTCACCCGTCATGCCGAACCAGGTGGCGATGTTGTCATAGCTCAGCTGGCCGTATGGATGTTCCTCGCTATGGTTGGCCATAAAGCGGTAGATGAATGTATAGGCGGCGGGTTGGACGAGGACGCCGGTGAATGGGCCGTTGAAGAAGTAGGGGTTGTCGTTGATCTGCTGATCGAAGCGCTTGCTGCGGAAGTCGGTGAGGGAGTTGAGGTCGACGTAGCCGCCGGGTGAGGTGTTGATTAGATCATCGAACTGGGACTCCTTCGTCTTATAGTCATTGCCTTCTTGGTAGAGGTCGGGTCGGGTTGGCGATGCATCGGATTCGTATCTGTGAAGGCGACGTCAGCCAGACTGTGACACACCATAGAGCAGGTCAAGACTAACTTGTTGTGCGAGCCGCTGATACCATTACCACCGCCAAGGAGACCCCCAAGTGAGGCCGGTGGAGTGCCTCCAATCGACCACGCAGTACCGCTCCCGTCGATGACAGCGCCAAAAGTAGCAAGGAATACGGCGAGGATAGGTCCCATACCGACGACGTTCATCGTAGCATCGAGGAACTGAGGGATCGTAGCGTATCCATTGTGTGGAAGGAAGCCATGGTTAGCGAAGGCGTTCTGGAAGACGACAAGTCAGCAACGTCGAAGACGAGGTCTACACGATCGACTCACAAGTCCAGGACATGGTCCTCTAAGGTCGTTCGGTCCAGGAGCAACGTATGCATGCCCGCTCCCCTCCGAGATATCGATGTACTGCTTCTCAGCATTGAAGATGGGTACGGGCTCGAACACCAGTGTAGCGGCGTCAGCAGTAGCGACTCCCTGACGCTTCAAGTGCTCGTTGGCAATCTCCATGATCTTGGGATCCCTGGCAGCATCTTGCAGAGCGGCGAATGGGAACGCCGTGGCCGTGGTGGCCATTGCGGCGACGAGTTTGTGTGAGGTAGAGAACTTCATGATGGATGCTTTCAACGATGAAGAAACGGTTGTCCAAGAAAAGAAGTCCTGGACTTGTGTTGAAACAGCAGGTTGAGACAGTTATTATACGACCCTCGTCATCCATCGTCCGCTGCTCCGGCCATAGACAGCCTTCGAAACTAATCATCTTTCGCCTCCATGGCAATGGACACACCTTCTTTCCCCATCCAGCAAAACCGCCTCTCAAGCTCGTCAGTGGCGCGCGCATGATCACCACATTTCCGCCCAAACCGACTAAGTCCATCCCCGGATTGACCAGAGCCTCATAGTGATTTTGCGGGGATGGTGTGTTTGTAGCGTAGCATGTAGATTTGTCAAATGTACTTTCCAAGTTCAAGTGTAGATCTTGTCCAGATCGTTGCTAGAGCTCGCGCTTTTTCGTCGGTTCGTGGGCGAGCGAGACATTCTGGGAGAGACCCCTCTCCGTGCGATCGCGCTTCATTTGCGGCAACTCGTCTTGCCGGGTCGTTTGGCGACGTCGACGTGCAGGGTCTTTCTCTTTCTTTCGTCCGTTTGAATGACGGAAGTGAATGGATACTGGGTACTCACAAGAGTAAGAACGTTCGTGAACGAGGTGACGTTCGAGTGCCTCGTCTCACGTGAGGTGAGGTTCGCGTGTGAACCCGCGCTACCGGTTAAGCTTGACGGTAAGGTTCTGATCTGTCTTGGATCCGTCGACTCCATCGTTCCCTATCCGTGTCAGGCCCTGGATACTGTTACAAGACCTTCAAGATCGGGACTGCACCTGCGTATCACCAATATATCCTCCCATTCTCCAGCTCTTTCACCTCCCGACTTGAGAAGCTCACATGCTCCGTACGAGGGAAAGTCGGATTCCACTGACGCCTCCACCCGTCCTCATCCTGCCGTGCCCCATTCCTTGAAAATCCAGGAACGACCCCATACATCAACGGCAACAGAGCCGCGTCCTCACTCTGCCCTTCTGGAAAATGCACCGCCGCACTCATTGCCACAGAGCAAGCACTCGCAACCGGCATCCCCGCCTCGAAAGATCGGAAACGCCCTATCCCAACCAGCGCGGCGATCATGAGCGTGCTGAGACAGAAAGCGAGCAGGATAGCTAAGGGCGAGAAGCCACAGGCGTTGATATCCCTCGTGGGGACGCGGAGGCCTTCGTTGTCATAGATCGTAATGCGGACGAGGAATATGCTGCGCGAGACGAGCCAGTGCAGGAGAACCTTGGCGCACATGATGGGGATGCTGTAGCGGTAGCGGAGCTGAAGCCAGTAAGTCGAGCGCTGCTGGCCTTGTGGGCGGCTGACTCGTAGTGCTTTGCGGGTCGTGGCGAAGTTGATGTACTCGATGTTGAGCAGCATGCGTGTGAAGGCGTCGTTGTAGAAGATGTAGACGAAGGTGATGATGAGTTGAGGTGTGTTTGCGAGGACGACGTTGGCGATGAGGCCTCCGTCGAGGGTCTTCGATACGATATTGTTTGTGTCGATGGCGCCGAAGGTTGAGAAGAGGCATTTCTGGGAGGGGGTTAAGATTTTGATGAGGATGACAATTGTGGTGAGCCAGGGGATAAAGCAACTGCGTGCTTGACAGCGTGATATCACAAACGCTGCACTTTACATGGTCACTTACATCAAGAAGGTCAGGTTAAGCTGTAGCCGTGGAACAGCATACCACCACCGCCTTCTCTGTTTCGTCCAGGTCATGGGTGGGTGTCGATCAAAATGCCGCCACACGCCACTGGTCACAGCACCCACCTCGAGTGCTCCCTTCCCAGCAGTCACAGGATCCGGGCGCTCGATAAACGAAGTAATAGCGTCCCCAATCGTCAACATAGGCCTGAAATCCCTCGCGTAAAGCACGGCCAGCATGCAAAGAATCTTAACAATATTGCAAACAATCGCTCCAACGAGCAGCCTCGTGCTAACATCAATCGTGCACTGCGGCGCGAACGATTCCGCAAGACAGTAGTCCACCCCAACATCAATGAAGTTAGGGCAGTCATCCGAGCCATCGAGGAGGTTGTAGGGATATCCGAATCTTGTATCCTGATTCTGCGGACATCCAGGAACTCTGGGGATCGTCCAGGCCGCACCCGAATGTAGGACGTCCGAGCCGCAGCTCGAGTACTCAGGAGCGTACAGGTTGTTGATATCCCCGTGGCAGACCCAGTTGAGATCATTTTCCGTTGCGGCGGCTGAGTGCGAGTAGACGTTGATCAGGCTGCTGTTGGTGCTCTTAAGCTTTGCCATGACCAGGACGTTCCGCCAACTCGTTTCGAACATGGAAGTCGCGTACGCTTGCAGGCACTCATCGTTTTCGAGGCGTGTTAAGTTGTCTGCGTGCTGTGCCAGCTGGGCGATTTGCTGCACGTTGGCGCCCAGCACAGATTGTGCATCGGTCTGATTCCAATATCCATCCTGGAGGAAGTCTTCGGTGGCAAGAGCGGCTTGGTAATCGACCGCCGAGCGAAAGGTAAATATCACAGAGTTGTATCTGTCAATCGCTAGCTGATGCCGCCTGCATCGGCGAGAGGACATACAGCAGATGCAGCGGAACAGTGCTGAACACAAGCATCACCCAAATCGCCGTCCGCCAGTACGGCAGATGTCTGAGATTCCTCACACTGGAAACGCCGACATCAAGCCACTTCCCACGAGCATGCTGCCGGTCAAGATCTTTCCTCGTCGGAGCCGAAAGCAATTGAGCAGCGTAATTACTCGCGCCGAGCAGCAAAGAACTCAAGATATTGACGGCGAGTTCAGCGCCGATAGTCACTTTCTCCATGATATCGCATGAGCCTGGGAAGTTCTGTCAGAGATGGATGCCCCACGACTGGGTCTTAAGGGGTTACACACCTTGAAAAACCGTTGCACTCCCCTCTCCATTCCCATCAAAAGACCTAGCCCATGCCAGCACACCAACATTCGTCGCCAGCACCACCGTCGCCAAACCAGCGCCAACACCCAGCGTCGTCTTCCATTTGGCATAAGGATCTCGTCGACGAGGCGTGGTCTCGTCCTCGACAACCTCAATCGACTTCTCAATCAGCGCGTTCCGAGCCTCAAACCCCGTCGTCAGAGGCTCCATCTCGTAGCTTGGCGGCGAGGCCATATCGAGAAGGAAGAGTGAAGCCAAGAATCAGCTACTTCCAAGAACCGGCAGCGGCGACGCGATATACCCAATGTTGTTGATTCAGCCGTAGCCATGCATGCTTTCTGGAGCGGGTGAACAGGCGCTTCGCTCCAGCCTCAGCTATTAATTGTTTAGCTTTGGCCCCCATCCTGAAGAAACGGGACAAAGTCGCGAGGTGCGTTGCCGCCGTCTGTAAAATGCACCGCAGTAGGGGTTGAAAGTTCCGCGCCAAGCGATGGTAGCATAGCGATTTGACGCCACGACATGGAATCTCTGCCGTGTCGGATGTAGAGACTTCTCACAGACATTCCAGCAGCAGATTCGGATCGAAGCCAACTACATTGTTTCTGACGATGCTCATCACTCAAGGATGGCCACTGAAAGAAAAACGACCTCGTGTTCCTTTTGACTATTCATACTCGTAACTCATGTGTATGTTCTACAATGCCTGCCCCGACCGTCTTCTTGTTACGTCTTAACGGGCTCCCGAAAACTCCAGCGCTCACTCCCCGGATCTCGTCGCTCTCAACCAGACGATGGCTGTTTTTGTATGTATGCGTTCGCTTCAAAAAGAGGAAAGTTTCGGTATCCCTTGAATGTACTGACTGACTCCTGGCGCGGACTCGCATCAAAAAAGCAAAGTAAACCAAGCAACTCCATGCAATGGGTGGACGATCTAGTAGTAGATCTTCTTCTCGTAGATCGGAGGTCGGCCTCCTTCGGCGTCCCAGCAGATCTTGTTCTTCTCGTCCAGGTATGCGCCTTCGTCCGTGATTGGGATGACCTTGCTGGAGTCGTGGACCTCCTGTCTGCTGATGCCCATGGGATCGCGGGGTATCCACAATAGCGACGTCTCGCTGGTGATTGCAGGGTTGAAGAATGCAGTGTCTTCCGCTTGCTGGGTGTAATGGATTGCGGTGTCCTTGGGAACAAGTCTACGCATCGTCTCGTAGTCGGTGTAAATGTCTGGTCGCAGCCACTTGACGAAAAAGTTGGGCTTCTTGTGTGGTGGAGGGCTGAGTTCATGGGCACCGTTTGTAGTATGCGCCTCCTTCGCGGATCCTTCTGCGTAGTGGCCGTCCTCAGCTACGCCATTGTCGAGACGCAGAAGACGCTGCTCTTCAGCGTCAAGTGACTTCGGCAGATAGGTGAGCAATGGCCCCATTGCACTATTCAGGCTGATTTGGTACAGCGCGGTGAAGACCAGGAAGACGATCATGAGGATCAAGGGGCCAAGTGCACCGATACTTGAGCCGGTGGCGATGGCGAAGAGGCCGATGAGGCACACCTATAGAATGTCAATTCGGCGTCCAGGATACTCGAAGTCAGGGCCATATCAGCTCACCTCTGCAACATACAGGCCAACAAACAAATGCTGAAGAGCACGCGGGTAGACCAGGCCCTTCGTATCAATGACTGCGTTGGACACAAACAGGAGGTTGTAACGATAAGCTCCGTAGAACAGGAAGAGACCAATCGTGGCGAATCCAAGGACCAGGGGAGCAATCGCAGCATAGCAGATCGCTATGACAAACAAGTTAGTGTAGATAGGGAACAGTGTGCCCCAACCGATGCCAGACAGGGAGATCCAGCGCTTGTACATCTTCCGCGGCGTCTTGTCGAGGAGCTTGCCGAGCACCATGAACTAGATATCATTAGCACATCTGTCAAAGCGTCACATATCTCGATCTTACCAGAACTAGCCCAACCAAGCCTAGCAGTAGGCCCGACACAATTGCGAGGCCCTGCAAGATGAAGTACGACAGATAAAAGGTGCTCGCCAGGGGTAGATTGTTGGCAAGAATCGTAGTGACGCTGGCTGGATCTGATGCGACCTTTTGCACCACCGAGGAAGCCGCTGATCCAAGGGTGGCGACCAGGAAGACTTGAATGATCTGGAAGGCAAAATAGTAGTTTTGCGTTGTGAGTTCGACAGCACTGGCAGTTGGATCGCCCTTCATCTTGGCGGCAAACCGGAGAATAATGGGCAGAAGCGACATGAGCACCGCCAGCAGAATGGTCGGAAGAAGACCCGTGACGACTCCGAGAATGACCTTGGGGATATGGTTGATGAAGTCCAGCCAGGGAAGGATGCACGTAAGGTAGTTGATGTTGGAAATGGCACCGACAACAGCCACGGGGAGAGACCAGAAGACGATGAGCGCGACAATAGCGGCAATGACAACGATCTCCCGGATGACTCGTTCCCACCACTTGATTCTGAGATTGCCCCAGTTGACCTGCATAGACTGTTAGTGGACGAGCTCTCGAGATGGATCTTTTCGCCTTTTCTCACCTCTTCAGGAGTCATGCCAATGAATCGAGGTGCCATTTGAAGAATCTGGTGGTGCGTAAGACTCTGATATGCGGCTTGGGCCAGCGCAGTTGTCTCGAACTCGACAAACACGGAGTTCAACTTCTTCGTCTGGAGTCCTCGGTGCTTGGCCTGCTCAGCATCGACCTCAGGAATGAGCTTCTTGAGCTCGCCACGACACCAGTCAATGGTGTCCACCTTCTTGCCAATTAGTGGCTTCAGACGGTGTGTTGGACGCTCCTTAGGCTGGATGTAGCGGGCTGCAGTGGAGCCGTGTTCCCCAATGGCAGCTTCTTCAGAGGCAGGACGCTCCCCTTCTTTCTCAGCCTTCAATCGATTGGCATTTGCAGTCTTGACAAGCTTCGTCTCTGCCGCCTCCAACTTCAAAGCTGCCTTGTCCCGGTCTTCAACCTTCTCCTCTAGATCTTTGCAATCCGTAGCAATCCAGACACGGCGCACCCCAGGGTTGAGGATTCGTCGCAGCTTCGTTTCGTCCATGTAGTTTTCGGGTACGGATGTGTACAGCACTGTGCGTGAGGAGATGCGACTGGCGTAGAGCGGCGACATGAGGTAAGCCTGCCGCAGGTTGATGTAGTAGATGCTTCGGATGGGTCAGCATTGGCAATGTCGACGCTACGTTCTTCCACAGACATACCTCTCCCGCGTGATGGTGTAAATGATAAAGGAAAAGTATATAATCGCGCAGCCCGCATGCGCGAAATACTTGTAGTAGTTGTTGGTGACATTGGCGAAGGTGAGCAAGTCCAGTTGCGATTTACCGCCGCCACCAGTGGCATTGATTGGGAAAAGTACAGGCCAGGTGATCAAGCATCCCACAAAGCAGCACACTACCGAGATCTTGAGGAATCGCAAGAACAGGTAGCCGTCCAGGGTGTGGTGGTTGAGGATATAGGTGTCTGGCATCGACCAGAACTCCGAGACCCAGGCGAACATGCCATCCTTGGGGCGAGGCGTTCTCTGCTCATCTCGTAGCGAGCCCAGGAATGTTCGAGGTCGGTAGTAGCGGGGGAAGCGGTTCCTGAGGATCAGGAAGAGTATGAACCAAACGGCAGCATACACGGCGACTGTAAATGGGTTAGCAGCAAAATATATGTTACGTGTTGAGGACGTAGTTTTACCTGGTGCGAGAGTGGATAGAACCGAGGTCACGGAGTTGGAAGAGCGTGAGGATCCAATGTTGGAGTCCTGGTTTTGGTCCTAGGGTGTGTAAGTTTCAAGACAGGTGGTTTGGGGGGAATTGAGTTTGGTAGCTCACAATCGTGCTGCATTGGGATCCCATCCTGGATGGAGATTGCTCCTGCAGGAGCGCGAAAATTAAGCTGCCGGCAGAAGATGATGCCCGTGAAGATGGCTCGCTGTGATAAGTTGTGGTGGTGGCCGTAGACCAAGTGTGCGTGGTGCGAAGGGAGAAAAGAAGGGAGGATTCTCTGCTGCAGTGGAATGAATCGCGGCGCTTGGGCTTTGGCCAGAAACCACGCTAGCCGATCTGGCGGGCCAACGTCACCAATCCCTCGCTTGTGATAACAGATCTCGTCTCCTCTTCTCTCACATGCAAAGGTCAAGCAGGTCGTCGTCGTCGTTGTCAGATGGCAGGTGGCTCAGGTTATATATCCAGCCTGTTTTTCCTGTTTGACAGGTTGACATTGCTGCACCACACGGCCTCTCCAAACGGATGTTGCACGCGACGACACGCGCAGCCACGCTGCTGCTGAGACACGGCCAAGAGACTGTTCTAGCCACACCTCAGCCACGACTTGGTCGATCTGAAGCAGGTTTTCCTGGTTTCATCACGCGCTGTCGCTCGACAGTCTGGAGAAGAAGGAATCCTGTGGGCCTCCACTGGAACCGATATGGCGAACTTCTTCACAAAATATACCACATCGCACGACCTCTTCTTCTGAACCTGTCTCCTGGCGAAATACTAGTCCGGATTGCAAGAAACATCTCCGGAGATTTCTCTCAACTTCGGATACACACAGCGAATTGGGAGTCGTACCAAGGCCTCTACAGGGGCCGCCTCGTTTCCTTGACTGCATCCCCTGGTCGTTGTGGTGGCTGGTGGAAAGTTCGATCAAAGGCCTCGAACAAGACTTTCCAGCGACCTCACCTTATCGTTGCGTTCAGATCCATGTCCGGCTGTACCACCACGTTGATTTCGCTAGTAGGCAGGGCAACAATCAAGAGCGAGTGCTGCACCCGGTGAGGTCGGAAAAGCGACGTCAAGACAGGCGAAGGAACAGGCCTCCATAGATCGGGACGATTTGATGACACCAGCCACAGTTCTTGCAGAGCTCTACAGATGAAGTCGCATTGGCATCGACGTTTGTGGAGAATCTACTGCGTCATGGGCGGCAAGTCTATCGATCTCCATCATGATCGCGGAGACAAGGCCACTGAACGCGCAAGCTGACTCGTAGGCTCACTGTTGATGTGGACTCGCTCTGACAAGCCGCCAACAATACCGACACTGTCATCTGTTCAACTCCAACCTCGTTGTTAGAGCATACCTACCGAGATCCAGCTTTTCTTGCTTCGAACGCCATGCGAAATGGACACAAATTGGCGATCTGCGGTAGCAACTTGAGCTTGCTCGAACCGACGCCTGGCAAGTATAAGCAATGAGGACTACCTGAAGTAGGATGTGAAGCAGCGCTTGGATAGCAAAAGTCCTGTCCATCTCTGCGATACACGGGAGGACGATCATTGCACCCACTGTTGCTCGCGACAGGTGTCACCTCGCCAACCAAGGACGCTGCCACATGGGCTACCGCTTCAATATGAGCGAATCCAAGTCTACACGACGTCGCGGTGAAGCAGACATGAGAGACCCGTTTCAAGCAACGGCGATTTGTTTCCTGTACCATCAGGTGAATTGTTCTGGAGTAGCACCCTGCTTTCCCACTTTCAGATGCGACCGAATGTGTTAGGATCTGCTTGTCCTTAGATGTGGCGTTAGCATGTGTGTGCATGGGATAGATGCAAGGCTGATGTGTAGTCGCAGCTATGCCAGATCAACACTGGTCCCATTTCACGCTCGACCGGAGTGACGAATCCGCGCTTTGCAAGAAGAAAGTCACTCGTTTTCGCGGCCTGCCAGCGACATCGCCATGTTGCTACGGGCACAGAAGTAGCGCAGTCACCCTTCATCTCTCGGTGAATGTGGTGGCTCGTGATCAACACTTTTCACTCTCGCTGAGTGCCAGTCTGCTGCCCCGGCGGCGGCGGCAAAATCAACGAAGGATGTTCTGTCGACTCAGCACAACAGTCTTGCGAGTCGTACTTATTACCAGTCTCCTGGCACGAGCTATGGATACGTGGGCGCGTTTCTATAAGACCAACGTCTTATTGCTGTCCAGTCTCATCAACTCCGCGTCGCAACCTGCCGTGTTTCGCAGCAGTTCGCATCCCCTCCCGCAGAAGAAGAAACTTCAACGGGGAACGATTTATTGAAAAAGCAACGTGAACATTGCTTGACCATGTAGTACATGGAACATGCTTACTCCCTATTTCCTCGACGAGGAGAATTAATAATCTTCCAGGACTCGGTAGTTGGGATTCAGTACCAACAGCAAGGATTGGAAAGGAGATCCGAGCAAAAAGCCATGCGTCGCATATAGGGCACGGACCCGGGATGCCGAGGAAAGTAGGGAAGAGAACAGTTCGCTTGGGGAAGTCTGAAGAGACATGGATGCGTTGTGGATCTGTTTGATTTTTGCATGTGCTCGGTGGTGGTGCTTTTTCGCTTTTGGCTTGTCGTCCGGCTAGGCGAAGGGGCAGCCGCAGTGCCAGGCGAGCACGCCGGTGGCGCTGTGAACTGGCATGGGCTGCCGCCACGAGCGGTGGACTGGGACTTGTGCAGCACACTGGTGGTGTGATGGTCGAACTGGTGGAGGAAGGAGTCGTGAGGCGGACAGCGTTGGATCGAGATGGATGAGAAGTTTAATAACATCGATATGATAAAGGCAATCAATTGAAGAGGAATACAGTATCGAAGCCAATGCACGAGAATTGTGCTGCGAGCCGAGCGGGCGGAAAGCTAGACATGGGTTCGTTAAGCGTAGCCGTGTGGGTGGATGATGGATGGCACCCACCTACCCAACTTCTCGTCGCCGGCAGCAGCTTCGTCGTGTCTCTTCAAGCACCACCATAACAAAATATACACCGTCCTGCGCCGACGACGTCTCCCGGCAGCAGCGAACTACAGCACAACTCTGCAGCATTCATCCACTCAGGCGATCGCTCCATCGCCGCGGATTTCTGATTGGAGACGTCCACTGGATCAGCACCAGAGACGGGCCACCAGCATGCATTAGACTTTGCAGCGGCGAACCTTGAGTGCCAGATCCCATCTTCCGGTCGCGAGCTTTCCACCTGCGCCGTGCTCTTGTCCTTGAACGTCCGTCTTCCACACCACATGGCAGACCCTCCGCCTCCCACGACAGCGCCTCTGGCCCGCTCCAGTCGTCGGGGCAGCTGGGCGAGGGCCTTTGATCGCGTTAGAGCTGCCATGAAGCGACGCTCCTCCAGCAGTAGGACGCTGCCGACCGCATCACAGCACGACCGGCCGAGTCAGGAGCCTGCTACGACCGCCGCAGACCCCGTCGATACCATCTGCCAAACGCTGGCCATGGGTGATGATACAGCGGACGCAGCACCGCAACCGACAATGGCGCCCGACATACCGACCAACGAGCCTCCTGCAGCCCTCGACGCAGACATAGACGTGGACGAGGACCCGGCCGATGACGAAGACGACACGCCACTACCAACATTCTTGACCCGAACAGCCATCACGGACGAGCGAGCGCGCGATCTCTTTGCAAAGTACAATCTGAAGTACGACCCGCGTGGGAAGCGACCGCAGCAAGAGCCGCCCAATAAGATACGGCGAGTGGAAAAGCCGGTTCGGCTGAGGGTACACTGGACATGTCATGAATGTCGCTTGCAGTTTGGATTGGAGAAGGTGTGTGCGAGTTGCGGGCATCGCAGGTGTCGAGAGTGTGTTAGGCACCCACCGAAGAGAGCAAGGGAGGCATTGGAATTTAATACACCGCATGTGGAAGGACCAGACGAGCAGGTTCAGGACGGAGCAGAAGAGCCACCCATGGCCGAAGACTCGACTACAGTAGACCCGGATCTGCTTTCATACCGCGCCGAACCAGCTGCACCACCACTATCACCGGAAGATGCGTCCGCAAATGGGACTCCGAGGACGTCAGCACCAGCAGCTACAGCAGGAGAACCTTTATCATCGCCAGCATTGGAGATCGATGACGATGCGGAGGCCGATTACGCGAATCTACGCTCGACTCAATACATGATATACACACGGCCTCGAGCTGCTATCCATTCCATCCTTGAGCCAACGACAAAATCCACCCGAAGAACATGTCACGAATGCAACGCCACACTCCGACAAAGTGGTTCCCAGAATTGTTCCAACTGCGGCCACGTCAAATGCGATCTATGTACGCCTTCTACCGAACCTCAGCTACAGGAACCAGGACCGAGCAATCAAGTAGCAGAAGAAGAGGTCCCAATGGTCAGGGCGGTCAAGCGAGTTTACCGGAAACCGCGCCAGCGGGTCAGGTACAGATGCGAGAATTGCAACACGCATTTCATCGAGTCGGATAGGTGTATTGAGTGTGGGCACGAGCGGTGCCACGCCTGCCACCGCGACCCGTAAGTCCAGTCATCATGACTCGAAATCAACACCCGACTGACGTGAAACAGACCCAAACGCCATCATCGCGCCCACGACCCGGAAATCCTCGCTGCGGTTGCCAACCGACTCGCAGCATACGGTGGCGGTTTTGGACAACCACCTGGCATAGCCGCATGAGCAGGCTGGAGATGGATGTCACGTTTCTTTGCGTTGTTTCCTATTTCTGGGTGGGATTCTCTATTGACGACTTTTCAACTTCACGATACCAATTGAGGGCTTTTGTTTCTGGCGAGCATGGGGCATTGCAGCTTCTTTTGAGTGGGACGACAACTTGACTCATTACTATCATCGATTCGGGGTCTTGAAAAGGAGCATTCGGCATGCATTCTGGGACTTTTGGTCTATCATGTCTGATGGACAGGCGCATTCTGGATGGAGGGAGGGAGGGAGGTCCAATGTTTACGAACAGTTTCGCAGTCTCTCTGATTCGGCATTCAAGAGCTATGATGGCATCGTTATCATCAACATTCGCAGAAGAGAGATATTCTGCTATCGATGACGCTCAAGAGGGTACAAGTTTGAAACCACTGCTTTTTGGCATTATTGACACGCCATGCTTCACACATTTCAATTTCTCGTACACTCGGTACGCTTGCTTCTGTCTCTGCACGCGCGCATTGCATCGACCGCCTTTCCCAAATTTCCCTTCCTCGCTTCGCTGCATTGCATCTGCATCTGCATCTGCATTATCCATTCCACTTTCTCCGCCTGCCTGCCAGCATAGCACGACATCTCACGCGATACATCACCGCCACTTCAAAAGACGCTGTGTTCTGTGCTACCGTGATGACACGTATCCGCGACGAACGGGATCCATTCGGCTCCGACGTGCGATCGGGCAAGTCTCTCAACACATCAACAGTAGTACAGTTTCTCATCAAGATCCAAGATTCAAAATTCAACAAGAGATCCAAGCTCGAAATAAACTTCACAAAGAATTGGAATTTCCCCATGTCTAGCAACAAACCTTCCCGGCTTGCTCTAACCGTCCGTCTACTACAGTCAAACCTGGATAAGAACATAACTTATTCCTGAGTTCATTCTATGTTGCTAACCAGGTTATAGGACTATCCAGTCTAACTAAAGAAACACGTGATATCGCTCTGCTTTCGCATCTCAGCCTTCCTTCTTTTGATTACAGTCTCTTGCTTGTCAAGAATGCTCACAATCTCTGGCTGTCCATCTACCTGCTGCAACTCATATAGCCTTAGATGTTCAAGGGCCTGAAGAGCTGTATCCCCTGAGATCTTAGGTTGAATATCCTCCTCTTCTGAATCCTCTTGGTCTGCCGGATCGAATTGAGAGGCAATCTGCTCAAAGAGGTCATCTGAGCTATCTTGGACAGCCTCATCCACTGGGTTTAGGAAGGTCTCAATT